AGCCATTGTTCGTTGAGATAGGAGAGGTGCGCAGGTTTGGTGGGGTGCGGCGCTCGCTTACCTGCGGCGCTCGCTTGCCACATACGTTATATATAAGGCGTTGATGCTCCACCTCGAACCACGTATTAAGACAGTATACACGTCATTCCCTTTCCATCGTCTCGTCCTTCATAATAATCGTGATACCACGCCACAACTCAGCGACCTGCTACGTGGGATCTCCGTCCCATGCGCAAAGTACAAAATGATACAAACTTTGGAATCAAGTCGAATCATAAAGAGGGCTCCTGCAAATGCTCAGAATGCAAGCGAAGGCAGAAAATAAGTCGTGGTATGGGGGTATATGGCATGGCAGACGCGCAGGCTACTACTGCTTGATCGCGTATGTGCGGCGGAACATGCTGTCAACACCAGTAAGGTAGTATGTTCCGGGAACAATGGTGTCGGGGTTTCCCTTGGGGGTGAAGTCCTTTTGCAAATGAGCCTGCTCACGAAGGTGGCACATCTACACGTATGCATTAGTCATGGGGTCTGTAGAACAAGGTAGATCCGTCGGTAAAACTCACATCGTCATAGACCTGGGGGGCCACTACACGCCTGCTCTCAAGGCGGTTCTGAATGTCGAGGTGCTTGGCAATGCTCTCGGTACTGCCCTTGACAGTGAAGGAGAACAAGGACGAGGCCAGACCACTTCCGTAGCTGAACATGCCGATGCGCTTGCCCTGCAGGTCCTGGCTGTTGACGTTGGCGAGCAAGCTGCACAAGCTGCCGTAGACACTGCCGCAGTACATGTTACCGCACTGGGTTGGGACCTGGATGCTGGGCTGGACGCGGGCAGCAAAGCGCTTCTTGGCGAGGGTCATAAATGTCTTCTCGACAGTCTTGTCCGTGACCGAAGTGGCGTAGTCCAGGTCGCGAAGCTCGGCTGGGACCTCAGCAAAGATGGGGTTGGAGGGGTCGACGAGGTAGTCGTTGTACAGCAGGCGCGCGTACGACTTGGCTACGAGCTTGCAGGTAGGGGCATGGAAAGCCATGTAGTCAAAGCGGTCAACAGCAGTTTCGATCTGGTGACTGCTGCCGTTGACGCCGTTGCCGTTTTGCTGCGACTTGAGCGTCTTCTCTCGCTCGTTGTAGGCCTTGTAGCAGGCATCCACTGCCTCGGTGTAGCAGCGGAGGGAGAAGTGTCCGTCGACAATGGGGTATTCGCTCGTAAGGTCGGGCTTGTAGAAGTCGTATGTGTGCCTGATGTAGGAACCGCGCTGGCCAGCGTCCATGACAATTGGCGCGTTGGGGCCAATAAGCATGGCCACGCATCCGGCTCCGCCAGTCGGGCGGGCGGCGCCCTTGGAGTAAAGGGCAATGTCTCCTGCGACGACGACGGCGTCACGGCCGTCCCAGCCAGAGGACTCGACCCAGTTGATCGAGTTGAACAGGGCGTTTGTGCCGCCGTAGCAGGCGTTTACCGTGTCGACACCCTCGACGTTGTAGTTGCCAGACTCCTCAAACAGTTGCATCAGGACAGATTTCACCGACTTGGACTTGTCCAGCAGCGTCTCGGTGCCGACCTCGAGGCGGCCGATTGTCTTGGGGTCGACGTTGTACTTCTTGAACAGCGAGGAGACGGTGGTCAGGGCGAGAGAGTAAATGTCTGTGGGAGCAGCGCGTCAGCACTTTGCGGCGGGCACAGCCGAATGGCGGGCACTCACCTTCGCGGTCGTCGCAGAAAGACATCTTGGTCTGGCCGAGACCAATCGTGTACTTGCCCTGGGAGACGCCATCGAACTTTTCGAGCTCGGCCTGGTCGACGCACTGCAGAGAGACTGGTTAGATACAGGCCCAGGGCGCGGTGGGGATGCGTGGCAGGCAAAAGGAAAGGCTGTGGCGGGCGGCTGGCGCGGGTGCTACGTACCTGGCTGGGGAAGTAGAGCTCAATGGCCTTGATGCCAATGTTGGAGGGACGGGCAGCCATGGTTGGGGGGGTATTTTGGGGGGGTAATGAGGAGGAAACAGAAAGGTATTGTGCGGGCAAAAGAGGAGCGTTCACACCGCTGGTTTAAGTAGCCCGCGACCCAGATGGTACGCGACAGTAGAAATGCACCGAGTAGTAGCGGCGATCCCTGAGTGGCAATGCTGCTAGCCAGGCTCGATAAGGGGGCGTTAACGGGATTTGTGCAGGCTCTGGCAGCTCAACCAGGACCTTGTTGTCGGGAGATTTTCTCTGGCAAAATCCAGGGTCCTGCAGCCAACGCCGCGGCACGCCTACTGTGCAGTATACGAAGCAGCGCGCCAGCGCCCGCGAAAACAAAACATGGCGGAGAGCTGCATGGCATCATGGCGGCACTGGCACTGGCACTGGCACGGCGTTTGTCCAGATTGCTGCTTTTTTTTTGCTCCAGGGCTGCCTGCGCTGGCCGCCTGCATGCTCGGACAGCGTGCCGTTTACTCAGAGCAAAAGTACCCGACGGCCAATCAGCGCCCGTCTTGGCGCGCAGGGATGCACCACCACCTACATTGGTTAGTCAGGCACAACCACAATCAGCCCATCCAGCCCATTCAGCCATCCTCGACCTCGCCCGGGCAACACAACCAACCGCCTCGCAGAAACACCTGTTTCGACACTGACGACGACACAGCCTCACCATGTGCGCCATGATACACGCGCGCGCGCGGTAGGCCCCGACCCGAGTCTCAACATGGTATTGACCCCACGCCCTGCGCTCTGGCAGCAACTCCAACGGTTACACCTCCAGGGTGCCAGCCAGTATCCGTCTGTATGGCCAACGAAGCGACGCAATACCGCTCACAGAACCGTGTCAGCACTGGGTCGCCAATCTACGCGGCGGTATTGGCAAGACGTCGATCGTGGCATCCACGATGATTCACACACCGCCCACATACAGACGGCGTGCGAGCACTCCGCACAGGAACAACAACGTCTGTATCTGCGCGTTTTGCGAAGCGAGCAACGAAACATGCAACCATGGCAAATGGCTGATGGCATGCGTCCAAGGGTGCGCCCGACTAATCTGCAAGGACTGTCAACATGCGCCCCGCTAGACGCGCGTGAGGCCAAGCCTTGGACAAGAAAACACTGCGCAGCCCCTATTCGCAAACACATGGTCTTCTTGTACGGCGATGAATTGCAGCAACACAAGTCGTTATGCTCGCCGACTCATGTGCATGCGCCTCGTGTGCGAGCGCACCCAAATGCCATGAATCGGCGTACATAGATACGCTGGGCACACTACATGTAAAGACGCGGACAAAGAGGTGGCGTCGCCGGCCCCAGCCCAAACATGCCGGGCAACGCCGCAAAGTTTTCGGCCAAAAGGTTGGACCAGCGTCAACGCAATGCACCAGCTGCCCAGCCACACGCCTTGCCGCTTGCCAATTGCCATGTACGGTGCTGTATCCTGTGCTCGTGTGATGCGGGGGCAAGGACGTACATAGAGGCTCAAGGTGCATATGAGAAAAGCCTGTGCCCGGTTCGAGTGCCGTTGTACGCCGCCCTCTCTCACCCGCCCTTGCGAACTGCACTGTACACATGTAGTACATCACCAACACCGACTTGCACACTGCATCCATCAACACGGAGCCGCTAAACCACATGCATCAGAGCCGGACACTGCACGCAGCCTCCACAGTCTCCCGGGGACACGCTCCCCGTCAAGCATGTGTTGGAGCAGCAATGGACGCACCCAGCACCAGTTCACTGCTAGCGGGAGGGGCTGCCGCCATGTGTATTAATATCTATTTGCTGAGACGCATAGGAACAGCGCCACGGTAGCGGTATCCACCAAGCAGACACAAAGACACTGGCATGCCCAAAGCACACGGCAGGGCAACAGACCTGGGTATGGCAGTCTGGAAACGGATTGGCAAGGACATGCGTCCCTGATTGCGTTGCTTGCCCAGTGCATGTGCGATGGAGGGCTGGGTGTTCGTGCTAACCGGTTGCTTTGGGACTAGTGGCGTCTCAGACTTCCAAGTTCCAAACCTGCCCGATGCGCCCTCTCTCCACTCCACCCACCTCGAACCTCTCACGACACGATACACGCACCAACCAGCACCACGCTCGCTACCCGCACCACCTCGATCGCTACGCAGCGCGCTTCTGCCTGAACGCCTTTCGAAAATACGACGACATCGCCTTTGGGAAAATTAGACAGGGGGGCCAGGGCCTCTGAGGCTCTCAGGGACGACCGTTCGGCGTCATGGACCGACGCAATAGTGACGACAACGAGCCATCGCGACGGCTGAGCAACCCCGACGTCTTCGACGATGACCACGAAATCGATCCGAATGAGGAAGACTTCATGCCCTCGGTCTCCGATGGCTTTCGGCCAGCCAACGCCCCCGAGACGTGGCACAGCGACCGCCAGGACCACGATCGGATAGCCACGCCGCAGCGACAAGCGTCCACTGCAAAGCCCAACAACAGCGATTTGCGTCGGACAGCAACGCGGAACAGCACCGCCAAAGTGTACGACCCCACAATGCAAGATATCCGATCGCCGCTCAACAGGGGACCCAGCCACCGCTCGCCTCTGTCACACTCGCATCGCGACTCGGTGGACTCGACTGCGTCTTTCGCGACAACGAGCAACTCGGAAAACCCCTTTGAGACCGGTCCCAGCCACCCCTATGGCATGTATCCGCAGCTTTCCATGGCCCGGCCACTGAGCGTGGCAACAAGCTCAACAGAACGGCAACCGCATCGATCCTTGTCCTTGCAACGGCCAACTCACCCGTACGCCATGTACTCGCAGAGCGGAATAGTGGATGAAGAAGGGCCAGAAGAGCCTGCACAGCCGGCGGTGCCCCAGGTACAGGCGGCTATTCCCGTTGGATTCCCGGGCCTCAACAATGGCTATCATCGAGTGCTTGGGCCTGACGGCGAGGAGCAGGATATCATCGGACCGGATGGCCACACGGAACAACTTCCACCATACTCGAGATATCCAGAGGAGGGTCCAACAAAGGCATCATTGGCTGCCGAGGCAAGCGCGTCGCGTGTAGTCCCCGCACCCGCGCAAGTCGACCCAGAAGATCCCTTCCATACTCCGCCATCCCCTGTATCGCCGCAGAGCCCTGTCTCGCTGTCTGCCCCAGCCCTCCCCGCTACTGCTGCTGCTCCTCTGCTGCCTTCTGTTACACCTGCCCGTTTGCCGCCTCAAAGACCAGAAACCCAGACTGGCAGTGTAGCACCTACCAACTCCACTACCGCTCCAAGCAATGGCACCGTCCCGGCTGAACCTTCTGATTCGTCCTCCGCATCCTTGTTGACAAACGAAAATCCCATGTCAGAAAAGATGGAACCAACTGCCGATAAAGTGAATTGGCGTAAGAGAAAGTTATGGGGAAAAATACCAATGGGAATCGCTATGATAGTCCTTTTGCTCATTATAATCTTTGCTGTTGCCCTGGGATCAGCAATTGGTACCTTTGCTGCCAAGAATCAAAGCAAAAAAGACAAAGAGGAAGAACATCGCCACCAACATGAAGAAGCGTAAGTTTTTCGTATCGTTCAACAAGATGCATTTGCTGACCGTAATCAGCCAACCACAGGTCACTGGACAAAATGGATCCCTGTTTGACGCCGTCCCCATCTCAAAACCATCCGGCATGTCTTCAATACCCACCGGCCCCTTTGCACTTCCCATGGGCATACCGCAAGAGAGCACCCCAGGATGCCTGACGCAGGCGAACCAATTCGCCGCATGGTCATGCAAAATGACGTTTGCGCCCCTTGTTATAACGGTTAATGAAACGGTCGTTGGCGGCGACACTGTACAAGTGGCGTCGTTGGGCCCCGGTCCTTCTGTGCCAAAGAATTCCATCCTCTACGGCCTCCAGACCCCACAACTAAACAAACAGCCAATGGAGCTTGTGCTCGACTTGGACTTCAAGTCATACGGACCAGCTTATCATTTTTCCGCTCGATACGACAAGCTAGTCATTCTACCACCAGAGCAACTCAATCTCGGATCAACAATCGCGAAACGACAAAACTCAAAATACAGACAACGTTTCGAGGTAAAGCCCGGTGACTATCCTTGGTACTGCTTCTGGAATGAGACGTACATTGAAGGCTATATCTATGTGCAGGACAACTCGACTGCAGCGTCATTCACGTCATTTCCTACCGAATGGCCAACCCCCACTTCATCCGTCTCGGACACTGTCGCAATTGAGGCCTTGACTGTTACAGCAACAACAACCGACGTGAAAACAGTCGACATCACACCGTCTGCCAAAACAAACCCGACTCCCTCGCCTTCCCAGGTCAAAGCACGAGATGCACCACCCCCTGATAATTCTCCGCCACGCATGCCACCTTACCCACGTACCGTTAAGATTGAAGAGCGCCGCCTTGCCAACTCACCGCAGCCCTACTGCCAACAAATGGTCTTACTGGATAATGGACAGATCACCCCAGCACCCAGCCCAAACGACAGTCCGATCAGAATATGGCTGCAAGAGTCAGATCCGAGTTACGAGGAGTTCCTCGCTGCTCAGCCTAGCGGAACCAGCTCACCAGGTCCAAAAACCAAACGTCAAAGCGCTCCCCAGATGCAGAAACGTGTTGATCCAGCAGATGCTTGTCACTGTCAGTGGATGTTCGATTGAGTAATGTGCGCACGGTTCAAGGCTTCCATTTTTTCGTTAACATGTCCCCTGAGCAAGCGTGGGGTCTTGTGGCATGGCTTTCTGTTTCCTCCTTTCCTGCAGGCATTGGGCACATATTATAGGTGGTGTTCATGGCGCTTTTCTTCACAGTGACTCACGAGTCTCGACGCATCTCTCTGGCATATACCTCTTTCTTTACCCTTTTCCTTTTAGTCTCAATGTTGCATGCTATGTCCATAGCCTTCACTTTGTATCTTTGGCTATGATGGAGAGGAGATTCCTTTTTCTTTAGTTTACATCGGCGCATACTGTCGCAACGCTGCATTGTATATATCCCGATGGTTGGATCGAGAATCGCGAGTTACAATTGTCGCGCGAGTTCATGTTGAAATGAGAATAGATAGTTGAATCTTGAAAATCCATATACACACTATATTTGCTCGCTTATGGCAGTTTGAAAGGTGACATTCTTGTGTGTATATGGGACTAGGCTTACATACAAGGTTGTATGAATTCGCCTCGTGAAGAAACGGCCTTTGATGGGACCGGAAGAGAAAACCTCGGCAACTGTGGTAGTCACTTTCGCAGCCTAGTGCTTTAGACGTTCAATGGTTGTCTGAACTTATTTTAAGCTTAAAAAATATGACTATGCTTTTAAGCGCACACTCTCGAGCTCTCTCTTTCTTGCTCTTTCCAGGTGTCTCGTGTGGCAATGGATCATTTTGCGAAGGCGGAGCGAGTGATTTCTTTTGCTGCAACTGCAACAAATTCTACCGTTATGACTGTGTCCATGGAAATTGAGTGCGGTGCGGCTGCGTTATGGTATGTTGCATAAATAAGAGCTTCACGTGCCTCATTTACGACTGAGATACACGCTCTACAATATCTGTAGCGAGATGTTTATACGAGTGTGCCGTCCGGCTCGCCTGGAAGTCGTTTAACACGCCTCTGCTCCCAGTCTTCGAGATCTTTCGCCTGCAGCCTCTGTTGCATTGTCAGCCCCAAGCCTCTTGAACATCTGCATCGGCAGTATACGCACGTAATACTCATCGCGCATGTTGACCTTCCTCCGCTCCCCTCTTAGGCCCATTGCCTGCTCTTGTGTGATTTGCTGGTTCTTGCGATCGTACCGCTCGTATCGCAGCGCCGTGGCGGGTGTCAACATGAAGGAGCCCAGGACAATTGTAGAGAGGAACGGTAGCCCGAAGAGGAGGAAAGGGTGTTTTTGCAGCGATTTGCGGTACCGCGCTGCGAGCGAGTTGGGCAGTGTGGCGCTAAACGACTTGGATGTGAAGGGCCCTGGCATGGCTTCGGTTTGTGAATGCAAGGCCCGGGCGAGCAGGTATTCGAGAACTATAGGTTCGATGTAAATGTGTCGCGCTCTCGGCCACAAGAATTCGGATCGCGTTGTGGCGTCTCAACTTCGTTCGGTGGTGTGAAGGTCGATGATGCGGTGCAGTTGCGGAGCAGCGCTCTCTCCCGAGACAAGGGCTTAGCGGGGTCCCGTGACTACGTGAATTGTCTGGCACGCGCCTCACGTCGATCGGCCCACGTCCTTCTCTAGTACGCACCATCACTCACTAAGATAAACAAACGACAACTCTACAACCGAATGCCAAAATTGGAACGGTTTACCACGCTGCCCTCAAGTACCATTGACAGCAAAGGCTAGACAGGAACCTTTCAAGATCAACTCACACGCCACCTCAGTCACAAGCACCATCTTCTAAGACTCCAAACGTTCTCCAACAAGGACCTAAGTGTGGGAAACCCTAGCAAAGCCTAGGTTAGCACGTCATCCTACTCGCACCTGGAACCGCGCTCTACCCTTCCATATCATCAAGTCATGCCCTAGTGGTAACCTTCCATCCATCATGGCCCGCAAAGGCGGGGGCTCGACACAACGCATGGCCCCGCCACCCATACCAAATGGGCATCCAAACAATGTTCCACCGCCGTCGACCATCGCGGCCCAAATCGTTCATAATGCGTCCAATATCCATGCGCAGCGGGATGAAGCCACCAAAGTCACGTTTGGCGAGCTGGTCAAAGAATTCTTACAACACCCAAATACGGATGAGCCTGACCCACAGCTTGTCGCACTCATATGTGTAATTGCCGAAGCAGGACTTGAAGGCCTTTTCAAAGAGGACCCGTTTGCCCAAGATCAGCAAAGGCAGCAGGGCATTGACAGCATTGCGGCACTCACGTTTATTTTGCAACAGAAGCCACACCTGCTCTTGAGCGTCAAACAAGGCGACGACGAGAGTATTCCTGGACCTCCCCTCCTCCTCTGGTTGTATCCTAAGCTACTTGGCCTGCTGACTCATGCGACACTCCAACCCGTACATAAGCATGTTCAGCAGCTTTTACATCTCTGTCTTAACGCATTGGTGCAAACTTCTGCGCTGTGGCGTCCGGCTACAAGAGTGCTGCAGCTCTACAGATTCTGTATTCAATGTGAGGGATTTGCTCGGCAATTTGGTATACTCTACTAATCATGTTTAGGCATTCTTTCCGAACTCGAGACGTTGAACAGCAACCCAACTGCACTACCAATATCATCTTTCCGCCTAGTTCTGCCACCGTCAAGCGCTATCAATGAAGCCTGGCCGGAAAGTCAGCAATTCGTTGCACTACCCCATGACTTACAACGCGCCATGCCGTCCCATCACGGAGCTATTCACGTTGGCTTCTGTCTCCTGCTTGCAGTGGCCAATACCATTCAACGCAGAGGCAAGGCGCCTGTAGAAATGGCTGCTATGGAGCACCATCTGCCCTGGATTATGGACAGCATGCAGGCTTTGTGGCGACATTTCCGGCGTTGGACGATAAGCTCTGGGAGACGCACAATCTACGATGAGGTTACGCTCGTATACCTAGAGTTGGTAGAATCATTGTTCATGCCTTCAGTTGCATCCGAAAACCGGTCGCCAGTCTCATTGAAGATGGCACAGGCGCTCAGCAATAGTATTGCAGGGCTTCTTGAAAGCCTAGCTACGTCACCTCCAGCAGAAGCTGTGCAGATCCGAGTCGCATCGATTTTCACCCGCTTACGAAGTATTCTCAGCTCTCAACTCAGTGACGTGTCTACCCCGCGGCGACGAGAAGATGCAGGCAGATATGTTGTTCAGAACGAGCTCGAAGGGTGCATTAACAGGTCCTTCCAAGACACTGAAAATTTCACAAAACTCCACAAAGACTTGCAGGTATGCGACTGGCACCGAATTGTCTTTCCTAGCTAACTGGATCAAGCTGGCACTTTGCCTCTGGACGTCGCCTGGTGCTTGGCCTCTACACGTTGCAGATCTACGAAAAGAGCTTTGCGAGAACGAGACGGGAAGCTTTTCTGATGCTCAACTTTCTGAAGAGTCAGCGTCGACTGTAAAAGCATTTCGAGCTTTGAATCTAGGTGAAGAAAGCAGACCAGCCAAGCGAAGAAAAAAACTACCAGACTCTACCGAAGACATTAACCAGTCTACTTACGAGCAGCTTGTGATGACATTGAATGGCAGTACCCAAGATTCGCCTGTGCTCAACCTGTCTAATCTGCACAACATCATTCAGTAAGCTGATATTACCTTTTACTTATACAATACTTACTTTGACAGAGCGAGGTATTCTTCAATGCCAGATGGTGAGCAGCAAAACGCACCTGTACAAGAGGATATTTTGAGGGCATTGGCGAAAATCGCCTGCGCCGGCTCCCGTTCACTGGAGCAGCCTAGATCTACGCCACATTCCATACAGACACTACACTGTGCTTTGTGCGATACCAACATCCAGAAAGCACGCGATGAAGCTGCTTATTGGAATATCCAGGATGGCGCAGAAAACTGGAAAGATGCAATTGCCGCTATGCTTGTAATCACCAAAGAACCGCTATTCCATGCATCGTCACAATCGAGGATTCTCATGGCTGTGGCTATCGGCCGTGTCTACAATCACATCTCAGGCTCTGAGTATCTGGCTCTCGAGAATTGCGAGCTGGGGCAATGGTTGCTTGCGTGTATGAGCAGATCACTTCGAGAACTAAAGCTTGCGGCTGCAAGTTCTCTGATGGTCTTCCTACGAGATGATATTTCGAAAAGTACCCGCGAAAAGAATCGGAGGTCAACTATAGAGTTTCTCGATGCGCTTGCAAAGCGAGATGTTTTGTCCGACCAGGAGACACTCATCATGGCTTACGGTCGAATTGCTCAAACGTGTGGTGAATTAGAGCTTCCGATCATATTACACCATCTCATCGAGTACCTTGGTCACCCCAATGCCTTGGTGTGCGGTATGGCCTACCGTGAGCTGGAGTCTATTGCCAAGGGATATTCCATGGACACGATGCAGCTGATAAGTCCCTACTGGAAAGTCATTGGCTTCTCGGTCATCAGAGACATCATCAACAAACCTCAGAAGGCACAGCAATTGGCAGATTTGACTGAGCAAAGCGTCCGTCAACTCCTCGTACAAACCCAGTCGGACACGCTTCCTCATCTCGTACTGAGTAAGAGAAGAGATATCATTGAAAAGATTGCTCAAGCGCGAAAGGCCTCCGTCATCGACGTATTGACGTATCCAAGAGTCAATCTGGCCAAGATCTTAGCCTTGCTCCTGTCACAACCTGTTGCTGACGTTGAGCGTACTGCAATGGAGACGTTAGCTGCCGTCGAGCCCGCTATACGCGACGGTAACAACAACAGGCTGGAGTCCTGGGTCGCGCTGGATATAACTGGGGTTGCTATTGAGATACTAATGCTGGCTGCTGATCAAGAAGGCGTAAGAAAGAAGCCATTCTACAATGCGTTCACCACACTTGCCACACTTGCCCCAGAAACCAAATCCGGTCCTCGCAAATCGACATCCAAAACCAAGAACCTTGATGCCTTTTGCGAAACACATATCCTGGGCATCATAGCATACTTTTCCAACATTATCGAGACACCGAGTTCACCCGGAAAGGCAGTCCGGCATACGATGCCTGAACGGAAAAGATGCATAGCTGCCATTGGTGATCTCATCAGTCTTGCTCAGTACAGCGTGAATGGGGCTTTGCCTCAGATTCGCGCTTGTCTCCAGTCAGCCATGGCAGATCCTGATCTCTGCGATGACACATTCAATGTCTGGTCGGCTTTCCTATCGGCCCTCGATCCGGAAGAGACAATGCTGGTTGTCGAACAAACTTTTGCATTGATCGTGCAACACTGGTCCTTATTCTCATCAGAAACTCAGACCAAGGCTCACAAAACCATTGGAAATATTATTGCACAGCACAACACGCAGCTCAGATCCATGATAGAGTACCTTCCTTCGCTAGCCGGAATTCCAATGTTGTCCAAAATCGAGGGAGAATTTGCAAAGTTCAAGGATATGCTACCGCCAATCGGTGTTTTTCACGCCTTCAGCAGTCGGTGCAAAGATCAAAACTCGGTCGTAGTTCGTCAAGCGCTAAGAGAGCTCGTGCCCTTTTTGGATGCACACCAGCAAGAGTTGCATCAGTCGGTGGTTGGTCAAAAACGACCTCCGGTCCTCGCAGCATTGACCAGGTCTCTCCTTGATGCTAGCGTTCGATTCTCCGAAGACCACTCCGATATCACTATACTTTGTGCCCAGTGTCTTGGGATCATAGGTGGTCTTGATCCATACCGGGTGGAAACGGTTCGTGAGAAGAAGCGCGTGTTGATGTTGTCGAACTTTTCGCGCAGAGACGAGGACATTGACTTTGTGGCGTTACTTCTTGAGCAGGTCCTTGTCAAAGTTTTCCTTTCAACCACAAACGCAAAGGCACAAGGATGGATCGCCTATGTCATGCAGGAAATGCTGAAGCATTGTGGCTTCAGTGCTCTTCGTGGAGCGAAGCCTCGGTCATCTCAGAGCAGTACGGAAGCACAGCGCTGGAACAGCATTCCAGAAGATGTGAGGACCGTATTGACGCCCTTTCTCGATTCGAAATATTCTGTCAACATGAATCCCGCCTTACAGTACCAGGGTGCAAACTACCCTATTTTCCACCCAAAGCTTAGTCACGCGACCTGGCTACAGACCTTCGTCTACGATTTGCTGCGGAAAGGACAAGGTGTTAATGTTGAGATGGTCTTTCCAGTCTTGGCTAGAATCATCAGAGGCTATGATCTTTCCATCGCGACATTTATCCTTCCTTTTGCAGCTCTGAACGTTATTGTCTCTGACAATGACGAGAATATGATGCATGTTGGCCAGGAACTTTTACAAGTACTCCAAGCTGATCTGCGCACATCGGAACAGCTTGAGGCTTCGACCATCAAGCAATGTAGTGAGGCAAGTTTCTCGAGCATGTCACATGTAGGCTTTTATTGACCTTTGGCAGAATGTGTTCCAGACGCTCGACTACCTCTCGCTGTGGTTACAGGAGAAGCGAAAATCGCTATCGGACGCCAGAGTAATGGCAGGAAAGACAGGACGTGGGATTCATGAGAATGACGAGATGACTGCTATAAAGCAGGTCAGTCGTGTGGAAGGCATACTCCAGCTTATACCCGCAGAGGTAATATCTCGAAGAGCTGTTGAATGCGGTTCATATGCCCGCGCCCTGTTCCATTGGGAGCAGTACTATCGCCAACAACGAGACTTGAAGGCAGAATCGAAGCAGCCCTTTGTAGAGAAGGACGAACTACTGCAACACCTGCAAATGATTTACGCCCACATTGACGAGCCGGACAGCATTGAAGGAATATCAGCTCACCTGAAAGTGCTCAATCCAGAACAGCAGATCATCGAGGATCGCAAGGCCGGGCGATGGACAGCAGCTCAAAGCTGGTATGAGATCGCGCTTACTGAGAGGCCAAACGACGTCGAGACCCAGGTCAATCTCTTAACGTGTCTGAAGGAATCTGGCCAATACGGTACGATTAAATACGTATTTCATCAGAAGGCTGGCTAACATACATTCCAGATTCAATTCTCAACTATGTGGATGGCTTCCATGCTAACGAATCGTTTTCGAGCAGTACGCTACCTTTTGCCGCTGAGGCAGCTTGGTCAGCTGGCAAATGGGAACAACTCGAGCGTCTCCTCAACAGTTCACATAGTGCAGACACCAACGCCTTTATGAATTTCAACGTTGGCGTAGGTCAAGCACTCTTGGCACTTCGTCAGAACAAAGTCGTCGAGTTCCAACGCATCATTGCGCAGCTGCGAGAGCTCGTGGCGAAGAGCTTGACGCCATCAACGACTACTTCTGTGCAGGCATCGCACGAGTATTTAGTCAAGCTCCACGCGCTGTATGAAATCGAGGCTGTGAGTGGTACGGGTACTGGAGCAGCCATGGGACGTGAAGTTCTCCTGGCGAACCTCGATCGGCGGCTAGACATTATCGGGGCCTACACCTCAGACAAGCAATACCTTTTGGGGATCCGTCGCGCTGTGATGACGCTTTCTCGGTATGTTCAACGTTTGAATATCATTGTACAGGTGTGCTGACTGATAGCAGCATCGAGTTCACAAAACTGGATATTGCATCTGCGTGGCTCACGACCGGAAGACTTGCTCGCAAGGGCGACTTTATGACGACCGCATTCAACTCTGTACTTCATGCCGAACGCCTGGGCGATAATGCTTCAAAAATTGAATACTCGAAATTGCTGTGGAAAGAGGGTCATCACCGCAAAGCGATCCAAAATTTACGGGGTGCGATCGATAGCAATGCATTCCAGCAAGACGAAACAGTGCCCATCAATGTCTCTGTTACCACTGCTGGTCGAGGAGACGAGCATGCAATGAACAAGGTTAAGTGCCATGCTCAGTTGCTGCTTGCAAAATGGCTGGATCGCGCAGGTCAGACACAAGCTGTTTCTCTCAAAGAAGAGTACGTGACTGGCGTACAAACATACCCTAGATGGGACAAAGGTCACTACTATCTAGGAAGATGGTATCTGAAGCTGCTGGAGTCTGAGAAGCAACAACCGGTTACGAAGCAGAGTCCAGAATACCTGTCTGGAAGCCTGATCAAGCTGGTCATTGAGAACTTTGTCCGCTCCACGGTCTATGGAACCAAATACTACTACCAAACCTTGCCCAAAATACTTACGCTGTGGCTAGACATGGGCATGGAAGTCATGAACATGCAACCGCGAACGGCAAGAGATAAAGAGTTTCATGAACATCGCATCAACTATCTTGATCTCATCAACTCATATATCAAGCGATATGCTACCGACCGGATGCCCGCTTTCTCGTGGTACACGGCGTTCCCGCAAATCATAACACGAATCAGCCATCCGAACAAGAACGTCTGGGATGTTCTTCAGACAATCATTCTACGAGTCGCTTCGTCGTATCCACAGCAGTCGCTATGGGCTCTACTGGCTGTTCTTCACTCGACGCAGGACGAACGCCGGAGCCGTGGTGCGGTAGTATTGCAGAAACTACGCGTAAGTCGTCGACCTGGTCAAGGTCAGGATTCAGCTAACAATAAGAAGGACGTGTCAAAGCGCAAGGGAGCATCTCTCGACCTCAGGAACCTCATCATCCAAGGACAGCGGCTTACGGACGCACTGCTGGCCGCTTGCGATGCCCCGATTGAAGCGCGAGTTTCCCGTGTGAGTCTGGCAAAAGACCTGGGATTCAGTCACAAACTCTTGCCCACTCAACTGGTGGTCCCAATCGAGGCCAACCTTCTTCCAAATCTACCGGTAGGCAACGACAGCCAGATGATTCGCCGCTACAACCCGTTCTCTGCAGACGCTATCACGATACACTCGTTTGACGACGACGTGCTGGTCTTGTCATCGCTCCAACGTCCACGCAAGCTCAATGCTCGTGGCTCGGATGGCCGCTCGTACGGACTGCTATGCAAGCCAAAAGACGATCTGCGAAAAGACCAACGGCTCATGGAATTCAACGCCATGATCAACCGGGCGCTCCAGAAGGACATTGAGTCGAGCAAGCGGCGCCTGTACATCAAGACGTATGCCGTGACGCCGCTGAACGAAGAGTGCGGAACCATCGAATGGGTCGAAGGCCTCAAGCCCATGCGCGACATCATCCTACGCTTCTACCGCCAACGCAACGTGTCGATTAACTACACGGAGATCCGCATGCTGCTCAACGAAGCGGCGTCGTCGCCGTCCAAGCTCCCCATCTTCACGGAGCGCATCCTCGGCAAGTTCCCCCCGGTGCTGCACGAATGGTTCGTCGAAACGTTTCCCGAGCCCGAGGCCTGGTTCGCCGCGCGCCTGCGCTACACGCGCTCGTGCGCCGTCATGAGTATCGTGGGCCACGTGCTGGGACTGGGCGACCGCCACGGCGAAAACGTGCTGCTCGAGCAGGGCGACGGCGGCACCTTCCACGTCGACTTCAACTGCCTGTTCGACAAGGGCCTGACGTTCGAGAAGCCCGAGCTGGTGCCCTTCCGTCTCACACACAACATGGTGGATGCCATGGGCCCGCACGGCGTCGAAGGCCCGTTTCGCGCCGCCGCAGAGCTCACGTACAAGCTGCTGCGCCAGCACGAGGACACGCTCATCACCATTCTCGAGACTTTTGTCCACGATCCCACGGCCGACTTCCTCGGCGGCAAGCGCAGGAAGAAAATTCCGGGTGTCCCGGATACGCCGCAGGAGGTGCTGGATATTACGCGCACAAAGGTCAATGGGTACCTCAAGGGCGAGAGCGTGCCGCTGAGCGTCGAGGGCTACGTCGAGGCGCTGATTGCCATGGCGAGGGATCCGCACAATCTGGCCGCCATGTATATTGGGTGGTGTGCGTTTTTCTAGGCTGCACGTGGTAGTAAGCTTGAATGGTAATGTTTACGAGGAAAGTGTATCGACGGAGTTGTGCGTGTGAGAGGGAGAGAGATGGGGGAGAGGGAAAACACACATGTATGACGCGTACGTGTGGAAGAAACGTAGATGCTCATGACAAACAAGTGTGGTTGTGTGCATATACAAGATTTGGCATTACAATACGTAATGGTTGAAACAGTTAGGTTAATACTGCCATTCTCTCTCTCTCTCTCTCTCAAAAACGCCAAAACAAAAAAAGTCTTCGTAAAGGGGGGCAAAAAGTGATGATAGCCAAAAAGCAACTTTGCCTACCATCGGAGCCATATATATCATGACGGAAAAAAAGCCTTGTTGCAGTCCCTTCTTTCTCATGGCCAGAAACAAGTTGCCAACGTGCCAGCCGTCTGCATGGCCAGTCACCGCCCGCCTCTTGTTCCCTCCCCACTTCTTCAAGATGGCATGAGTCGCCAGAACCGCCTCTTGTATCCCAACTCGCAAAACATGTGCGCCCTTTGCTGTTCCTCGTCCTTTGCCTCAACACTTAACAGCACTTTCCACCCATGCCTGCATTTGCACCGTCCTGTCCGCTTACATCCACCTTTGGCGTAGTCGTCTGGTCTGTCCTCGCCGTGTCAATCAACCGCTTCTTGATATCGCCAGCCAGGCTGTAAAAGGCCTTGTCAACATTGATGTTGCTCTTTGCCGAGACCTCGAGGAAAGGAATGCCGAGCTCGTCAGCGAGGGCCTGTCCTTGTTCTGTCGTGACGGCGCGCTTCTCTTCCCAGTCACACTTGTTGCCGATAAGGATCTTGTTGACGCCCTCGGTGGCGTGTTGCTCAACGTTGGCGAACCATGTGCGGATATCTGGTCATGGCTCTGTTAGTCGTGCCTCTTGTTGCTTTGCTAGAGCTGCTCCAGACGATGCAGGCAAGCTTCCAAGGAAACGATGACATGGACGTACTGTTGAAGCTTCTCTCGTCTGTAACATCATACACCAGCAGAATGCCCATGGCACCTCTGTAGTATGCCGTCGTAATGGTTCGGAAGCGCTCCTGGCCCGCAGTATCCCATATCTGCAGCTTCACGCGCTTGCCATCAAGCTCAATCGTGCGGATCTTGAAGTCGATGCCGATGGTGGTGATGAACGAGGGCGTAAACGAGTCTTCGCTGAAGCGCAACAGGCAGCATGACTTGCCTACTCCCGAGTCGCCTATGAGGAGGAGTTTAATCTATGCGGGCGGAGGGAACATGGTGTTAGTGAGTGGGTCTGGTGTATAGGCGGTGGAGGGGTGCTCGTAGTGCAGCAGCGAGTGTGGGGGCGAGGAGAAGGATGCTGGGGCCATGAGAAGCGGCGAGCAGAGGGGACAAGCTTACAAGGAAATCGTAATTCCTGGAGCCGGCCATGGTGGTCGAGGGATGCCGTGTGCGTCGTCGTGGGCGAGGGTCGAGTGCGGAGTGAGCACCCGCTGCTTGGGGAGTGGGAACGTGGAAGCTGGCCTTGGTAGGCGGTCGCGGGCGAGAAGGCGGCGGCGAGGTAGGCGGGGTCGGAGTTGGAGGCAGAGACGCGGACGGGCCAGACTGGGACGAGGTGCGAGGTGAGGGTGTTTGGTCGACAGCAGGCTGCAAGTAAACGGCGTTGGAAGGGAAGCCTTTCCCACGGCGGTGCCAACGTTGGACTTTAGCGCCAATTGTCCGCACGGGCTCACACCTCCGTCACTGTCACCTGCAACCCGGCGACAAGGCGACAAGGCGACAAGAGGTGGCTTGGTGGCGACTGCGCGTCCGTCTGCCTCGACTCGGCCATGGCTGCCGTCACCACACATGTGAAACATGGTGCATTATCACGCTGGGAACAAATGGTTTGCATTCGAGTCGGCCAGCCATGTCGGCTCATCATGGATACCTTGACATGGGACTATCCTGGTTGCCAAGGAGCGTCTAGCTCAGATAAACCACTTCGAGTACGCCCACCTTATGCGCTCAACTACTTTTTGCTGCCGCTGCAGCCCGCTTCGCACGTCGACCAGCTCGTCAATCTCCACCAAAAAATCATGAAATATGCGGCGCGGCAGGATGCCGCTGGCGGCTTGTCGCAGGAGGTGCACCTCGCAGAGGAGCAGGCCATGATCCTTGTACGAGATCTCACCATCTTCCGTCGGCGTTGCGCCACTGAGGATGCGATCAATGTTGCGCAGGATGAGCAGCATGCGGCCTTGCCGAGCCCACTGCTGTACGCCTCGGCGGCTGCTCAACACGCCTCGAAGCCATCGATAGACGCCGATGCTGACTAGCACGCCGGGCGTTAATCCGATGAAACCAAAAAGCAACTCCTGGCTCTTGAGAATGCTGTCGATACCGCTCATGGCCACTTCAACGTCGACCTTTGTCTTCTGGACCTGGATGAGTAGTGCGCTGGCCAGATTGCCGACAATGGCGCCTCGGACCGGGCTCTGGATGTCCTTTTCGTAGGACTTGAGAACCGTGGTCAGGTCGCCTTCTCGCACCTTGGCCCTGATGTCCGCAATCTGCGACTCGTTTAATGGCGGGCTCTCGCTGTTTTTGACGGCAAAGTCTACCACCATGCGCTCGAGACTGGCACGGTCAGACTCCAGACTGCGCTTGCTCATGATGGACACCTCGCTTTCCTCGTCGTGGCGAATCGTGCCGATGATGCGTTTGGTTGGCTCAATGACCCAGTTTGACCAAAAGTCGATTACCGTTTGTCCCAACTCGCGAATCCATGTCAGGAGCTCTTCTTTGCGATTGACAACAATGCGCAAGATGGTGGTCGAGGATACCAGCAGTAGGGTTGCAGGGAGCCAATAGCGAATCAGGCGCGAGGGTCGACCGTTTGCTTTGACAACAGCATTGAAGTTGGCAGTATAGGTGGGTAGGGCAGTTTCGAGCAGGTAGTGCAGACGCTCTGCGACTTCTGCTGGTTTGAGTGTGTTTGCGACGCGTTGGCCAGACGGTTCGTGGAGCGAGTAGAGTTGGTCGTTCTGAGTGATGGCAGTGACAGCGTCGTCGAACTTATCGACCGAAAGCTCTGCAGTGTTGACCGTCTGGATGACGGCGTCCAGGAGGGCAATGTTCTTGGACATGACGCTCTTCCACCGTTGCCCGTTCTGGGTGCCGAGCAGGGTGGGTGTTTGCGTGCCATCGTCGTGTACGCTGGTCAACGTCAGCAGAGTGCAATTGCAAGTTGTGATGGATATACTTTTCATTCCCCAACCCTTCTCCAAGCAATACACCCAGCGCATTTGCATTGATGATTCGGATCTTCCTAAGAGCCGCTCGCTTTCTCCTGCCCTCGTTCCTCACCAGTGCTAGTGGGCTTACCACCCTGCGCTGGATATCGGCAATGCTCCGCTCCTGCACGGCATCCTTGACTAGGCCGTAGAACTGGCTCCAGCTATTGGCCACCTGGGGGCCTCTTGAGCGCACATCGTGGTATATCTCCTGCGACCACCTCCACAGGCGAAGGGGCGATGTTTGCACAGAGTACAAGCCGGCAAAGCTGTAGGTGGAGAGGACGTCGTCCCAGTACCACAGATCGTCCTCGAGAGGAATGGTTTGTTCGAGTATGGTATTCAGGACCTGTCCGTAGGCCTGCGTCGTGGCCTTGCTCACGAGAAGCCATTCCAGCTCGTGTTCATAGCTTGCATCCTCGCGCGTGGTGGCGAGGTGTGCGCGCTGCAATGCCTCGAATATCCTCGCGACAGGGACCAGGGTGTGCTTGGACGATGCGGTCGTGGAGAGCGACTTGATGAGGGTCTGCAGGTGGGCAATGCGGTTGGTCTTGGCGGGGTCATGGGCTTCTTCTGCGGTGATGGAGAAGCTGCCAGAGCTTGTCGTGGACAGCTGCAGCCGATCGAGCTGGCTGTCAATCCGGCGCACTTGGCTGGGGCAGTGTTAGCTGGGGCCGGCCGGTGTTTTTCCTGGATGGATCGACTCACTCGACCACAAACGACATGGCTACCAGCGCATTGACATGGTGGTGGTGGGGGATGCGGCGGGCTTGTTCTGGGACGAGGCGATCTGAACCAGGATGGGGCGCGCCTACCCGCCGCAAATGACGTTCTAGAGGCGCCTTCCCCAGATGCGGCGAGTTTGCAGCACACAGGCACGCGACTGCCACGGTGCTTTTGCGGTATGTGTAGACGCCTCCAATAGCGTGAGGATGTTTTTGGATGCTTGGAAAAATAGCTAATGGCGTTGCCTAGCCCCGCCGCCGACAAAGGAAATTGAACGCCCCAAACACTTATGCGCCACTCGCCAACCGCGCCACGTTTTGGTCCAATCTATGTAGGTATGTATGTACACATGTGTATGTATCTATGTAGGTAGTATGTAGGTAGGTGGTATATACGTATATATGCATGCATATGAAAGACGGTCTATGTACTCAAATTGGAAGCGATATCGGGGGCATCTCACGCGAGACAGGTGTGCACCCGGGTGTGCAGGAGATTATCTACGATGGATGCCCATGTACGCGTGCAAAGACTATCGCCAAACGCCGTGGCAGACTAAGGCCAAAACCGGGGACTCAGCCCTGTACCCGAGAACCAGTCTCGGGGCGCCGGAGGATTCGTGGCAAACTTAAACCGTGCCCTTTCTCCTTGCAATTTCCCCCCCTCGGCCCAGTAGGGGGCGCGTCAACGAACTTGTCAGGGCGCATGTGTCTAGCCCACGACGCGAGCGCTCATGCGGACCGAGGGCTGATCGGCCACTTCATCCAGGCCGATGGAACGCAGTGGAGCAGGAGTAGGCTCGTCGTGGCCTGACAGGCGGGCGTTCATTGGCTCGAGCACTGGGCTGGGTGAAGGGGAGAGATCAAATTGCGGCACAGCCAGGCTGATACCGTGGACTTGGGCCTCGGGGACTAGCAGGGGTCCCTCGTCGACCAGCGAGTCGCGCTTTCTGGGGAGCTTCTGGCGCATGCCTAGCTCGCTGCCCACGCGCTCGATGCTCTTGAAGTACTTGACCGTCTTGACCTGCAGCTCCAGCGTTGCGTCTTCGTCGACGACAATCATCGGGTGCGGGTGCATCTGCAGGCTCGACAGCGTCCACATGTGGTTGACGCCGCCCTCGATGCACCGCTGCAGCGCCGGGGCCTTGTGTGCCCCTGTGATGATGATAACAACCTCGCGTGCCTGCTGCGGTTAGCCCTGGCCATGTCCCTATCATGCCGGCAACGAGTCCAACTCACGTCGAGCACCGTCTGCACGCCCACCGTCAGCGCCATCTTGGGCACCTGGTCCAGATTGTTGCCAAAGAAGCGCGAGTTGGCGAGGATCGTGTCGTAGGCGAGCGTCTTGACCCGGGTGCGCGACCTGAGGCTGGAGCCGGGTTCGTTAAAGGCAATGTGCCCGTCAGGCCCGATGCCGCCCAGGAACAGCTCGATGCCGCCGACGCGCTGAATCTTATCCTCGTAGCTTTGGCACTCGGCCTCGAGATCGGGCGCATTGCCGTTGAGGATGTTGATGTTGCCTGGCTTCACGTCCACGTGCGAGAAGAAATGCTTGTACATGAAGCTGTGGTAGCTTTCGGGATGGTCACGTGGGATGCCCACATACTCGTCCTGACTGGGTTAGACTGGCCCTCTGCGGGGGGAACATGCACGCATACCATGTTGAACGTGACTACATTGCGAAACGAGACTTGGCCCGCCTTGTGGCGCTGCACAAGATATTGGTAGACGACGACAGGGCTGCTTCCCGTCGGCAAGCCCAGAACAAAGGGCTTCTCAGGGGTGGGCTTGAAGGTATTGATGCGCTCTGTGCAGACGCGTTAGCCGGCTCGTAACACGACAGGTCGGAGCGGAGGCCTCGACCAATAATGTAGTCGGCGATGTACTTGGACGCAGCCTGAGCGTCGTCTCTGATGATTAGGCGCCTGAATGCAGTAAGCAGGGCTGTAGTGCCATTGACCAAGTGCATGCTGTTACATGATGAGTGGATGCGGGTATCTATGTATGGATACGGGCGTGTGTGTGTGTGTGTATGTGCGTGTCTTCGTATTGCCTTGCGGGGAGTGAGGGGAAGCGTGGCAGAGGGGTAGGGAAGTGGGCTGGATTTCTATGATAACATTCGCGGCGTCACGTCACTGCTCAACCACGGTATCACGGCCAGCCTGTTGGCGGCGACGGGTCTGATTGTCGCGACTGATAGTGGCTCCGGTGGACACGGCGGGCCCGATTGCCTGATGCGGACGGCCTCTCGCTGCAAGTGGGAGCCATGGCACCCTGGTGGGCGCTGTGGAGAGACGATGGAGGGCTGGAAGTCAACCTTGTCGTACCACGCCGCCATGCTGCGAGGTCGGCCAGCGAGCGGGTGCAACGGTTGTGCTCGGGTTGCAGAGCATGCGTTATCGCGGCGGGCGGCGAGGGGACAGGAGGGGACGGGAGGGGGTGGTCGCGGTGGCATGTAGAGTGTAGATAGCGGTGGACGCCTGGGTCGCGTGGCCACGATAGGGCATCACGATGGCAGAGGGCTGCTGCGAGCATCGAGTGTCGAGCCTGGGGCAGGATGGCGATGTTACATCTGGGTGCATGTACGAGTGCGGTGATGGCGGCGGCGGCGGGAGGGCGCTTGGCTGTGGACGTGGTGGCAGCAGACATGCAGAGGGCTCTCGCCATGGCGTGGAGACAGTCGGCACAGAGGCGTCTAGCGGCGATAAGCAGGTCAGGCTGGCAGGCAAAAGGCTCGCCAAGGCCCCACCCAGACGGGCAGAGTCGATGGTTCAGTATACCGCGACCCGACAAAAGCTCAACGGGGCGACGTGGGTATGCCCGGCTAGGGCCTGGCGCTGCAGTGACACCCCCCCGTCCCCGTCCCACCCCCAGTCCGCCAAATCCATCGCTGCATCGCTCCCTCACCCAGTCACCCAGTTTCCGGCTATCAGCAACATCCCGGTCCGCCCGTCACCTGCGCCCGCACGCCCGCCCCTTTGCCTGCGCCCACACCTGCCCACGCCTGCTCTCGCGCTCCCAGCACCTCTCAGCCGTGCCCAGCGTCGCGTGCGGATGGCCGCGCCTCGTCTGCTCCCCGATGCAGTCCTAGCCTGGCCTCCTCTGGCGGCGTGGAGGGACCATCTGAGGCCCCTAGCTGACTGATGCTTAAAATGAGCTGCCCCTCGCGCCCTCACCACGCCCCAAACCGCCCGTAATAATAGCAGCCTGTTCCAACCGTCGACGTGGTCTGAGCGCCACCATCCGACGTCTTTATCGCCTCGTGTCCGCGCGCTTCCTCTGCACTGCACTGCGCTGCACCGCACCGCCGCGCCCCCGAGCCCCCTCGCAGCTTCCCTCGACCTCTTCCTCTGCGCGCGCGCGCCAGCCAGCGACCATCACCATGGCCTCCCTCGACAAGGAAGATGCTGCCCACAACGTCTACTCGACCGACCACTCGCTGACCCACTCGACCTCGCTGGATCTGCCAAAGTCGTGGCAGTACCGCCGCTTCACCATCGCCGGCTTCAAGCTGCCCTGGTTCGCCTCTCCCCCGGTCCAGCTCGTAATTGTCTCGTTTGTCTGCTTCATGTGCCCCGGCATGTTCAACGCCCTCAATGGCATGGGCGGCGGCGGCCAGCTGGATCCCACGGCCAACAACCGCGCAAACACGGCCCTGTACTCGACCTTTGCCGTCGTCGGCTTCTTCGCCGGCACCATTACCAACAAGCTGGGAATCCGCACTGCCTTGTCCTTTGGCGGCGTCGGCTACTCCGTCTACGTTGCTTCCTATCTCTGCTACAACCACACGCAGGATCTCGGCTTCACCACCTTTGCCGGCGCATTGCTCGGCGTCTGTGCTGGTCTGCTGTGGTGCGCCCAGGGCGCTATTATGATGTCCTACCCACCCGAGGCTTCCAAGGGTCGCTACATCTCGTGGTTCTGGATGATCTTCAACATGGGTGCTGTCATTGGTAGTCTGGTATGTATTGTCCTTTTTTTTATATTACAAGTCTTGTTTCGCAACAAGGCTTGCTCACATGACCCATCGCTGACTCGCTTAGATTCCCTTGGGCCAGAACATCCACACCAAGACGGCCGGCACGGTGAATGACGGAACCTACGTTGGCTTCCTGGTCCTCACCATTATCGGCGCTGCTCTTTCCTGGCTCCTGGTTGACGCGCGCGACGTCATCCGCAGCGATGGATCCAAAGTCATTGTCATGAAGCACCCCTCGTGGAAGTCTGAGATTACAGGCCTGTGGGAGACCTTCTTCACCGATGCTTATATTGTATTTTTGTTCCCCATGTTCCTGGCATCCAACTGGTTCTACACGTATCACTTTACCGAGGTCAATGCGGCATATTTCAACGTTCGCACACGGGCCTTGAACGGTGTAGTCTACTACATGATGCAGATCGTCGGAGCTTATGTCTTTGGATACGCGCTAGACATCAAGGGCGTACGCCGCACGACGCGTGCCAAAGCCGCCTGGGCTGCACTTTTTGTCAGCATCATGATTATCTGGGGCTTTGGATACATGTTCCAGAAGACATATGACCGTGCTTGGGCCGAAAACGAGGCGCACGAGAAGAAGGACTGGAGCGACCCGGGCTTTGCCGGTCCTTTTGTGCTCTACATGTTCTACGGCTTCTCGGATGCCGCTTGGCAGACGTGTGTCTACTGGTAAGCTTTCCACACAGTGTTTGTTTTGCGATTGACGTACTAAGCCGAGTCAGGTTCTTGGGTGCTTTGACCAACAATAGCCGAAAGCTTGCCAACTTTGCGGGCTTCTACAAGGGAATCCAATCGGCTGGAGGTGCCATCACGTGGCGTCTGGACGACATCAAAATCCCATACATGACCATGTTTGCGTCCAACTGGGGACTGCTCGCCGGCAGTCTGCTAGTCGCCCTTCCTGTCATTCTTTGGAAGGTCGAGGACACTACCGCGGTGGAGAAGGACCTTGAATTTACAGACGAGACAACCTCGGATGTCCTTCCTACCAGCCACCGCAAGTCTGACCAAATCGAACTCGAGAAGGTCTAGTTCATTTCTCCAAACCACGCTTACGACTAGGGCTTTACGGATCATGACGGGAGGGGGCTGGCGTTGGGAATTTGCTTTATGATACCTGAAAGAGAAGTGCATTGCGTATTTGGGGGACTGTATTCTGTAGCCGTGATGCTTGCCTGTCGAGCGCTCAGATATGAGCATCATGTAGTAATTTGTACACAATAGTAGTTTCCTAATCAATGAGCAAGAGCATCGCAAGTCTCTGAAATCTCCTAGTCTGCAGCATGGGCCAACTTGAGATCTGCCAACGATGGCTCATCTCATCTCACTCGTGTCCAAGGGCGGCTATCGAGCGATCCGAGTTGATCATTGCTGGAAGAATTCAGGCCCCAGTGTTGGAGTGGGGAAGCGCCTTATTCCCCCAGCACAACATGGGTGCAGCGGCATTATCTGGGCCGAGAAGAGCAGACCTCGGATGCGAATGATGGGACAGGCCAGGGCAACCTCGTATCCAGGCAGCGCTGAGAGGGGCACACTCGAGGATTCGTGGCCGCGTCTAGACTGGATCCAAGTCTCTGCCCTTGTGCGTGACAAGGCCGGGTTATCGTCGTGTTGGCGGTTGCTATCAGCACATGTGGGCACTGGTGGCGGCCTCGCCGGCGGCCTGATGTCAGCATGCTCGATGCGTTGCGTGCGGTCGATGGCGAGGCGGCGGCGGACTGGCACACGCACACGCAGAGACGCCCCCCCCCCCGCATGGTCGCGTGGCGTCATCCCGTTCCTGAGATGCGCCAGCCCCAATCATGTGAGGGCGTCGAGGGAGGGCTGGTAAGCGCCGCATGGCAACGGGCGCCTGTCGTCGACTAGAAGACGTCGGGAACACGTTGGAACACGACCACGCCTAGGCCCAAACGAGTAAGAAAAACGAATTTCTATTCTTGGCGCGAGCTGGCAGACGCGCACGTGCTGGCGGCCCACGCCGCATCGCCCATGGCAATGGTGCATCCTGTCAAGCCTGGCATCCTCCCCCCTCGCCCTGGGCGGCGGTTACATGTACACCCAAGCACCGGCAGGGCATGGCTCTGCGGTGATCGCCATCGCCGCATGAATCCTGCAGTCGGGTTGTATCACACCGTAGCCAAGCCATCCACCAGAGTCCTATCACGTCCGCTTGCAGCTAGCCTCGCCCGCCCAAAAGAGCCTAGCGGGCCTCACCGACTGTAACGGTAGCAATGGCCATCAGGAAACTTTCTACGACACCCCACCAACGCTCGCCATGACAGCAACGCCATATTCTTGCCTCTTCGCTGAGCGTACCTGGAGCCAGCGTCACGCTGTCGACTGCTGCTTGCGGCCACTACCACGTCTCCACGGCGGCTCGCTGTCCTGGTCTCCATCCGCCCTCACACGTAACCCTCTGCCCCTGTGTGCCGCGCCTCAACAGCCGACTTCATACCACTGTCCCCGGAGCAATCCCTCACTACCTGTGCTAGTGGATACAACCTCTCTGGCCTCCTCGCAAGCCCGCAAAACCATGCTTAAGAGCTGTTGGCGACATTCCTGTACTACTAATGCCATCGGCCCGCGTCTCCTCTCCTCCACCCATCTCGATATCCACAGGCCCAGCCCCAACGTGTCCGCCGTCTCTACTTGATTGACCTGACGCCTGCATTCGGCTCTTCGCCCCCCGTTCCAGGACTCCAGCCCCCCGGCATTTGCATCCACTCCATCCGCTATACACCCAGTGCTCCCTCCATGTCCCCTCTGTTGCTGCACCGCTTCAAGACTCGCCGCGTCGCTGTTGTCCCTGACCCCAACGACTTTAGTGACGCTTGCCATCCATCAAGCGTCCACGACTTTCGCCATCGCAAACATAGACGGCTCATGCTAGACTTTTGGCAAGGGCTCCTCGCGGCTCTCGAAAGACTCGCCATGTTACCGTCGATGCTGCACTCGGTGCTTCCATTGCTGTCGCCACGAAAACGCGTCCGAGATGCCGTGCGGACGTATGACCGGACCATGGACGACCTGCTACGCGAAATCCAACGCCTCATGGAAGCACCACTGGATCCCGCCAACCTGCTCGACATGTCGGCAGCGCTGCAGCGACAGTTTGCCCCAAAGCTGCAGTCCAGCGACATTTGCATGTTGCCTTCATACAACCACAAGCTCCCCTCTGGCCTCGAAAAAGGAACCTACCTGGCTCTCGATGTCGGCGGATCGACATTCCGGATTGCGCTGGTCGAGTTGAACGGCAAGAAGCCCGGCACCAAGAACATGCGTATCGTCGCCATGAAGAGTTACAAGATCGACGAGAAAGTCCGCCAACGAAGCGGACATGACTTCTTCGAGTGGATGGCCGACAAGATACAGCTGGCGCTTGCCGATCCGCAACTGCAGCCTTCGGCCACGATTCCCATGGGCCTGGCATGGTCTTTTCCTGTTGAGTATGTGTGCCGAGTCCCGTGCACGCTGTACTGGCTGACTTTTCTAGGCAAACTTCTAGTCGCAGCGCCAACTTGCTCGACATGGGCAAAGGCTTCCGAGCAACCGAAGGGCTCCTCGGCCGAGACCTGAGCGAGTTGATAATGGCACCATGCAGAAAGAGGGTGAGCTCTGACCGCCTCCAGCACGCGCTAGGCATCCACTAATCCTTGTTCAGAACCTGCCGGTGCACATGGACTCGATAGTCAACGATTCTTCTGCAACACTGCTATCGCGTGCTTACGAAGATCCATCCACTCGCTTTGCTGTCATTCTGGGAACTGGCTTCAACATCTCTGTACACCTTCCTGTATCCGCGCTCGGCACCACCAAGTACAAGGGATACCCTCAGCAATGGCTCGACGAAGCTACTCATGTTCTCGTCAACACAGAATGCAGCATGTTTGGAAAGGGCGTGTTCCCTACGACTAGATGGGACGACCATCTGAACGAGACACACATCCGTCCCGACTTTCAGCCTTTTGAGCACATGATCAGCGGCCGCTACATGGGCGAGATTGTGCGACTCATCATTGTCGAAGCCGTACACACAGCCGGCCTGTTCAGCGGCGAAATGCCCGCCCACCTCAACGAGCCCTACACTCTAGACACTGGCACCATTGCCGCCATGGAAATGGACGACTCAAAATACCTCACACAAGCCACAGCCCTCTTCCAATCCCAGCATCCCCTCAGCAAGCCTCCTACCGTCAACGACATTCAGTTTGTGCGCCAAGTCTCGCAGCTCGTCTCGCATCGCGCCGCCGCCTTTCTTGCAACGGGTATCCACGCACTGTGGGCCCTTCGCACCGAGGCGGAAGGCCTGACGCCCGCATCCGCTGGTCGGATGAGCATCGGTTGCAACGGCTCCGTCATTGAAAAGTACCCACTTTTCAGAGAACTCTGCCAATCCCATCTCCATGAGCTGACGGCTGCTTCGGGCGCACCGCAAAGGTCCATTTCGCTCGAGATTGCAGTCGAATCAGCTATTTTTGGCGCTGCAGTCTCGGCATGCTGTCTTGAGGGGCAATGATAGTTTTTTTTGCTTTTTTCAAGACAGCATTTCTTTCTATTCTTCTTTCTTTTTCTTCTTTTTCTTCTTCTTCTTTACACGGCTATTGTATATACATCACTTCACCATCTAGACATTCACTCTAGGGCCAGATTACGAGAAGATTTTTTCTTTCTTTACAGAGGCAAGGCAGGGCATATGGGAACTTCTTGGTTTTCTTCATTTTTTTGGGTTTCAAGCGTCATGCAAGTTCCCCCAGCCCCAATGGCGTTTGTTGCTTTATCGGTATCCGAAAAAAAACCCTCAAATGAACTGGGAGGGGAAAGAAAGAGGCAGAGCGGTTCCCCCCATTACGACAGTGTCTAGGCATACATACATGCAATTATCATGATCTAATGAAGAACGGTTGTCCCCCTGCTTGTACGATGTTACGACTTTGAATCTCCAACTGCTAAGTGTAGGCACGAAAGGAGGACTGGGGCATTGACAGCGGTGAGAAGAGAGAAAAAAAATCTTCGGATTCATCATCAAGCACAGTGAGTCATTCATCCATTCATTCATTCATTCATTCATTCATTCATTCCCATCATGCTTCGATCCAAGAGCTGACGTATCATGCCGATTCCTTGCTACCTACCCTACCCTACCCTATCCATCTACTCAACACTCATCCCATACTACCTCAGACTCCCATCGTGACATCCACATGCATGATCAGCCTTCCGGCCAACCGACCAGTCACACACACACACATACACACACACACTCAATCAGCCAGCCAGCCACTCAACCCGCCACTCAGCCAGCCCAGCCAGACTCCAAAGAGCAGAATGTAACCCCCCCCACTCCCCACTTCCCCCCCAATTTCCAAACCTTGAGCGAGATTACAAAACACAGCCAAGCTTCAAGCACACAGCACGTGCGAGTCCTGGTTTCTCCGCTCATCCTTGCTCTTTCTGCTGCGTTCACTTTGCGAGTGCGAGGCAAGATACCGAGATACTAGGATGAGCGATATCGGTGTCTCTCTCTCTAACCCATGTACATGCGTATGTACAGCATATGCATGTATGCGAACGGGGAATTTTGCCCCGCGATAAGTAAGGGTTCATACATGCATACATACATACATACATGAATGAATGTATGTAATCACACAGAACCGAATGCATCGGACGAATGGCACCAACTCAATCCGTAGTTGGATTGGTCCCAAGTACAGTCGAGTATTAAAAAAAAACCCCCTCAGGTATACCACGTTCAAATTCGGGATATAAGCATAATGCATGTCAGATCCGCTAGATGGAGACTTTAGGCTGGCATTGGTGGGGAGATTCCGAGTATATAGCGTGTGTGAAGAGTGGATTAGCGTAGCGTGCAAACAAAGTGGGTTAGCGTAGCCGTGCACGTGTGAAGAAGTGGGTGGGTATTAGAAGCGGGAATTACTAAGGAGAAGCGGGTTAGGGGGGGGGAGTGGAAGTAACAAGTGTGGGTGTGCTTGGAGGATGTAACTGTAACCGTAGCTAATCATCCAAGTACTAGGTGTGAGTGTGAGGGTTACTTTACTGTAACTGTAACTGTGAAACGTGCATCTGAGTCCAGCTGCGGGGTGTCAAACGTAAAAATGCAAGAGATTGGTACCTTGATGGAGCTGCGATTGCGAAGTGTAGCTAGGCTTGGGTTTGGAAGTGTAGCTGTGAGTGGTAGGTGTAGCTGTATTTTTTTTCTACAAACGGGAATTATCACCCGTGCTTCTAAGTCGGGAATACTTAGGTCTTGGCATGCGTATGTTAATACTAAACACCAGGACCCTAAGAAAAAATTTAGAGAGTAAGAGAGTAAGTGGAACACGGAGAGTAACATCAACACACTTTTGCACTTGGGCTACATTAGGGAAGTATATTATCCCACAGAAGCTTTTCTTGCTACAACATGGCACATGGCGCATGGCACATGGACACTTTCGGGCGTTAGTAACCGTGACACACACACACACACACACTCCACATCGTCACATTCCTGCATTTTACCAATTGTTCGACATTATCGCAATTTTTCATTTTTTTTTACCTTTGTTGAAGTTTACAAGCATCTCCACCAACCAACCAACCAACCAACCAACCACCTCATCCTCATCCTCCACAACGAAAAAAACAAAAGCCAAGCTCCCACAACGTTGCATATCTACACCACACACACAAACACGTGCATTTCCCCGCTCCCAGCTCCCAGCACACGGAAATACATCTCTCCCAACCCTTGTTTATCCATCCATTCACTCATCCATTCACAAGTGCTCAACCACCCACCCACAACCACCTGCATCCCGCCCCCCAAAAAAAACCCACGATATAATAAAAAGAAGGAAAGAAAAAAAGAAGATCCATGTACGAATTCGTCCATTTTTTTGGTCCTTGAAAGTGGGGTAAATAGGTACAGTAGGCAGTTTAGTTCGCAGTTTGAAGCTAACGCAACGCAACGCAACGCAGCGGAACGGATGGGCATGGGCATGGGCGTGTTGTTCAAAAAAACTGTGTGTGTCCAGTGTTACAGTAACATTGCAGCCCGATTTTTTTTGGTGTTCCCGGGTCCGGTTGGTTGGTCGGTCGGTCGGAACATTTCTCAGATTTACTTACACTCTCACGCGCACTCTTCACACACGCAACTCTTTTCACACGTACGCATGCGCACACACATACATGTGATGTTTAGCCACAATAACAACAACAACAAATCCAGACTAAATAAAAAAGGGACCACTAACCATAGGTAAAACAGAAATCAAGCCAACATATAACACCAGTACCTCATTTTCTCTCTCTCTCTCTCTCTCTCAATGTCCCAACGTTAACCCAAAAAAAGCGGCACTTTTCGGCTTTTCTCTCTTCTCATCTCATCTCATCTCATCTCTCTCTTAGTAGCAGCACGGGTTTTAAACTGCCGGCGTTAGTTTAGTTTAGTTTAGTTTATTTCTAAGCGGTAAATAGACTGGTGCTGGTGCTGGTGCTGGTGCTGGTGCCAAGGGCGCATTAGCATTAGCAATGGTGCATTAGCAATGGTGCATTGGTGCATTGGCATCATGTCAGCTGTAATTTCGAGAGAGAGAGAGACACACACGCGCCTTTCTAACACTACGTACGTAAGTAGATTTTTCCCGTCTAGGTGGGTGGGGAGCAAGCAAAAGGAGTAAGTTCGGACTTGATTTTTATACTAACATACATGTGTACGTACATGCGTACATGCTACATGTTAGATAGGCCGCACGGTCCGATATCTGGCTTACTGTAGGGTAGTACTACGTAGTTTGTGTGTGTGTGTGTGTGTGTGTGTGTGTGAGGCGTTTAAACACACCTGCACCTGCACATGCACATGCACATGCACACACACGCGCGCACCTTTCCCCACACGTAACGGAGCATGCAGCGTAACGTGCGCACGTGGGAACTTGGCGAATAAAGTATACTAAGTGCAGAGTGAGAAAACGCTCCGTCGCTCACCCACACACACACGCATCACGCGAACCCCACTCTTTGTGTAGTAACAAGCACCGAAAAGAGGGGGGATGGCGCAGTGGTGGAGCGCCTGGAAAATTTTCTGCTGTCTCACGTCAGCAAAGATCGAAGGTTCGAATCCTTCTCCCCTCACAACCATATTTATGGTCCACCCACATGAGAGAGTTACTCATTAAAACTTGAGAGGAAGACTCATTTAAAGTGAAAGATCTGAGAGAGTTACTCACTAAAAAACTACTAGGCTACGAGTCTCACCTTCATTTAGATAACCCCCTACATTGTACCTACTCAATTTGTACCTAGATTAAATTCTAGCCTACGTAGTTACTTGCAGGCCTTAAGCCTGCACGTCTTATATAGCCCTTTGGGCTGAGAAAGGACGTTAAACTATAATAATAATAATAATAATAATAATAATAATAAGCACCGAAAAGAGTAACAATGTGCGACACGACAATGCAGGGTTCAAGCAAAAAAAAATCAAACATGGTAAATATAGAATTTGGGGATAGATTAACACAAAAGGTACGGTGGTATAATGATAATAATAATAATAATAATGATAATGAATAGCGGCTAAAAAAGATAGGTAGGTAGGTATGTGTGTGTGTGTATATAGGTGTGTGTGTGCCTCGAATCCGAACCTTCAGTCATATGTCGGTCAATGCCTTCCTATCGGCGGGAGGAATGGGAAAGAAATCGTTTCAGTCGTAAGTTCCAAACGCCGATCGGTGTTCAACGGGCGATAGTAGATCAATAAACAACATTTCCCGCATTTCGGCCAAATTTTTCTGGAATTTTGTGAGCACTTGTTCCAGCTCTTCCGGTGGCAAATATTACTCTTTCTCTCTCTCGCTCGCTCTCCTTGCTCGCCTTTGTCCTTTTTCCTTTGGTCCTTCTCTCTCCCTGGCCCGAACAAGCAGACCGCATGCTTCTTTTATTTTCCCTAGTCAATCATCTCAACAGGCAAAGAGTTTTGCTTCGACACAGTGTGCGTGCGGCCTTTTCATGCTCATCTCTCGTGATGAGAATTTCTGCTCAACAGGCAGATTAGACCAAAGGTTTCAGTCGCTTTTGCGAGTCGTTCAGGCGGTTACTCTTGACGCGCTTACAGAAACAAAAACCAACGCATGGGTATCACAAATCGCAAACCAGATCACCAAGCATCCGAAAAGTACCGCTTCGACCGACTCCTACCAGCGTCTGCTTTCCCATCCTGTGGAAACGGGGTAATATGGTGGACGACATGGGGCCGATAGACGGCATCGACAGGCGGCATCCAATCGTCCAAGCCTAAGGGGAAATACTCGTAAAGGAGATCAGCGCTTTCGTCTGGGCTGTTAACAATACCAATGGAGAAGGAGGGTGGTCGCATGGGCGTTGTGCGTTTTCTTTGTTGCTCATTGGGAGAGGGGGCCTTGGTAGGCTCATCATCGGTGAGGGATAGGGTGACTGGGGCTATGGATGTCTTGGGAAGAGGCGCGCCTCTTGAAATATCTGGCGTTGATTGTGCATAGGGTGTGGCGTGCTGCATCTGCGACGAGGGCGGATCCTGGGGTATGGCAGTCTGCGCACCCGTGGGTATCTTCCAGTCAAAGTCTGGAGATGGCGGCATGGCGCTTCCATTGAAATCAAAGGGCATCTGCAGCAGCTCTACGGGTTTTGCCGGCCCTGCAGCTTGGACTTGGGCTTGGACTTGGGCTTGGACTTGGGCTTGTGTTGGCTTGGGAGTGCCTTGGTTTGTATCGCCCGTTGGGGTTCTACTCGGCTGGGGCGGCTGCTGCGGGGTGTGTACCTTGCGTGTGGTCGCACCCCCGCTTATTGGCATATCCTTTCGAGCCTGAAAGTTGCGTGGGCTTCTGCCGCGCACAATGATGGCGCCAGAGTGGATCTCACAAATGGGCACTTTGACACCGTTGGCAAGCGTCGCCATCACCTTGAGGCGCACGACAAAATGCTGCTGCAGCTCTTTCCTGCGGCCATTGTTGGCCGTCGCTATCCGGAATTGCAATCGCTTCCAGCTAATGGGAAAACTGACGTATTCAGAGTCAACGTCCTGGCCCGTCGACAGGTCGAGTGGATACGTGGGCGGCTCCTTTTCCGTCTTGTCTTCAACAGGGGCGTTGCTTGTTGCCGGCGTCTTCCACGGCACAGATATAATTTTGACCGAATTGCCCTCGAGCGACTCGGTGGCCGAGATGGTGAGTTCTTGGCCCAGAATGGGGATTTGGTCTCCTTGGTCCGTCATGAGAAACTGAAGAGCTCTGGGAATGGTGACGGTGCCGGTTATCTGGAACAGGTTTCTTCGGTAGCACGTCAACTCGGAGGGCGCTTGGACGTTAGCCGCGGATGCCCAGGGCGACTCGGCGAGAAAGAACATGCCGTGCAGCTGGGCAGACATGGTGATGGAGACTCGCTGCATGGCATAGCTGAGGATGGTGTAGGGGACCGAGGGCAGGGAGAAGCTGAGCAGCTTGTTGTTGCTGTCGATGCTGGGGCTCTCGGGCAGGCCGTTTGGTTCGTGTGGGTGTATCGACTGCTCGTAGCCGCTCTGGACGTCGGAGAAGGGGTCTTCATAGGCGCTGGGGTAGCGCTTGAGCTGGGGCGGCATCTGCTGGAGGTGGTAGGTCGAGTATGCATCTTCGCTTCTGGGCAGGGGAGTTAGCAGCTGGCACGCAGCAAGTGTGAGGGCGCGCTTGTGAGCGTACCCGATAAATGTCTCGGCATCAAAGGTGGAGCGCTGGTCGAACTGGTCCATAGGCACCAAGGGCATGGTCATTTGCTGGTCGGGGCCCGTGACCGTCTGCAGCGGGATCGGCATGGGCATGTACGACATGGTGGAGGTGTCAAAGTGCTCCATGGCTCGGGGCGGCGGCGTGGCCGTCTTGGGGGATGGGGCGGCTGTGGTATCGGCGCATGCGCGCGACGCAGGCGGAGCGGGCCGGGCGACAACAGTACGGGGCTCGCGGCGTGGTCGGGGGCGGGTGGATGGTGGGTGGGTGGTGGTGGTGGTAGTAGTAGTGGTGGTGGTGGAGGTGGAGGTGGTGGAGAGAAGCGGCAGGCGAGGCGGCGGGAAGGATGGGGGCGACGACGATGGATGCAGCTTATGCGCGGCGCTGGCATCGACGCGCCGGGTCAGAGTAGCGAGGGTATACGGGACGAGGGGGCTTGCACTGAGCGCGCGCGCCGCACTATAACAACACGGCAGCCGTTGCTGGGAGCTCGAGGGCCAAGGAAGCTGTGCGATGAGGGCGCATCACATGAAGGGCGACAGAGGCGGCGGCGGCGGCGGCTGGTGCTGGTGCTCGTGCTGGTGCTGGGCTGGTGCTTCCACGAGGCGACTCAGTGCCGCTGCTGCCATGGGGGGGTGGGAAGCGCGCGGAGAGGGGGAGAAAGAGAGTTTGGCGGCCGCTATGGCGCCCCAGCTGGCTGCGCCCACACGCCCTGGGCTGCACAACATGCCCCCGAGTCCGTATACACACATGCACGGCGAGTCGAGTTGGCAGTACTGCATTCGTCGCCGGCCCTGCGCAGTGCCGTCTGGTTCTGCCCGTCGCCCAAGTGCTACTACACTACTGCTATTACCACGACCAGTAGTAATACACACTGCAGTAATACTAATCTGCCGGCTGCTTGTCGGCAGGGCTGCTTCAAGGGTCAAGCCGAACGGGCCCTTAGCGTGCGCCATTGCACCAGTGGCGGCTCCGCCTCTGACTTTGGACAAAGACCCGCTCAGCTGCTGTTAAAAATAATGCGCTCATCATGTTTAATCCGACGTCGTCAATGCCGCTCAGCGTGCCCGCGACCCCAGAGGCCAGGCTCTGCTGTTGCTTTTGCTGCTGTCAACACGCTGCCACCATGGCCGAGTCCAGCCACCCGACGCGCCCGCTACACTAAACTAGACTAGCTCTACCCCACGGCTGACTCAGTCATCATCGCGCCCCAAGTACATGTGTATATAGCAACCCATTATTAACATCGCATCCCCCCAGTCTACGCCAAACAAACCAATATCCAACATCAAGCAGGCGGTATCATGGTCCACGTCGCTGCGTCACAGCTGACCTCCTCGAAATTGTGCATGACGTCGAACCCCATGGCCGAGAAGCCGTCAAAGTTGCCGTCTCCATCCATCTGTACTCGTTAGTCTCTCTGTTCTCCCAGACCCATAGGCGCCGACTTACATAGTCGAGCAAGCACGCGTTGCATCCCAGCTGCTTGATCTGCCGCATCCCCAGCAGAATCAGCCCCTGCAGCAGCGTCGAGTACTCTCCAACCCCTGGCGAAATCACCGGCGACGAGATGCCTCCCGCCGTCTCGTTCAGGTCCTTGAGCGGGGGAATGTACTCGGCCAGTCGTGAGTGGTGGTTGTACAGTACCACCGTCCCCACCAGCGCACCGTCTTCCGGCCGCTTGGCCCGAATAATTCCACACGCCGTCGGGTCCGTGAGCGCCAGCTTGTACACCTCGGCCAGCCCCTGTCGGTTGCTCGTTTTGATGTGATCCAGCACCGGTCCCGCATAGTCCCACCCATACACAAGGTCAAACTGCGCCCCCGCGCTCGCAAGACTCTTAGCCATGCCCGCTGGCGGCGACCATGTCTGGAGGTTGCGAGCCACCATATTGCACACTGGACGGGACAGTGCAGCTCCCCATCCCAGCTGCGCAAACCACGACCGTAGACGCTTGCGCTCGTTGCCGTGTCCGGTGGGAATCCCAAGATACATGCTGGGCAGGCGTGATCCCAGTTGAAACCGCTTGATCCCTTCTTTTTGCAGCAGCGTCCGTATCGCTCGGTTGTGCAGCGAATGTCCAATCGAGAGCTTCCTCCTCGTAGGGTCCACAAACAGCGCACCAATAACACCCGTACCCGTGGCTTTGAAAAAGTACGTCGAGCAAAAGCCATACAGGGCTTGCGTACTGCTGTTCCGCACCACAAAATGTGACTCTTCCACCTCGGGGTGGTGTAGAATGAACGAGCTTGATGTTGCGCTCGAAAGCTCAGACCGTTGATTCGGAGTGGTATTTTCCACAACTGCTGCAATCAGCGTATCCAATGCACTGCCGTCTCGCTCTTCATTGAAAATTTCAACCAGCCAGTGTTGCTTCGACGGGTGTAGCTTTTGGCTCTTGCTAATGGTGCCAGGTAGTGTTCCCGTGGGCGACAGTTCTCCATACAGCACCCTTACCAATGAGTTGAGCGCAGTCTCGGTGAAGTCGTATGTGCAAATATAGGTTCCAATCGTGTTGTCCATGGCAAAGTCGTACGGCGAGCTGACGGCAACGACAATGAGCGGCTTCTCGCGCCTCTCTCCGCCAGTTGTGTACTGCATATTGCAAATCATAGAAACGTGCTTGGTGAAGCCATGCTGGTAGAGATTTCGATTCGCGTCGGCTGTGAGGACAATAATCACACTCGCTCGGCTGATGAGGTTCTCGTGAACCGGACGAACACCGTTCGCCGTGTACGATGTGTGCAACAGTCGGCCGTTGCGCTGTCGAGCGAGCGAGCGGCCCAGCTCCCTAAAGACCCGTTCTCCGCTCATGACAGAGGAGCTCTGGTCCCAAGACGCAGGCCCGGGAGAGTGACTGGCTGCGCCATTAGCAGCGTCTGATATGGCTCGAGATGCCGCAGATGCAGCCAAGGGTTTCACCAAGGGTGTCAGCAGAAGAAGCTCCTCCTCGCTTTCGAGAATGTTAGTCAGTGGCAGAAGCCTGTTCTTGTCGCGTACGACAGTGATGGAGCTATTGTACGCCTTGGTCGACAGTGCAGTGTGCGAAGGCTGTAGCTTTTCCAGGTAGTTGATGCCTGGCGGGTTCAGTGCCTTCTCCCACGATGTGCACTTCTTCTTCATGGCTAGGACGCGCCTGAGCGAGTTGAAGATGCGCTCTTTGGAAACCATTTCAGTTTCTATGCCAGTCTTGAGGCCCTTGAGACCTTCTTGCTGCAGGGAGAGCGCGCGACAAAGCAGCACCACATCGCAACCGGCGTTAACAGCCATGACCGTTCCACCGCCAACGCCAATGTTGTGGCTGAGAGCATCCATCTCCAGACACTCGGACACGACTACGCCATCGAAGTTCAGGTCTTTGCGGAGTAGCTCATCGACAACCTGCTCAGAGAGACAGGCGTGCATGGCATTCAGTCCTGCAGACGACATGGCGCAGCCGCCAACCATCATAGAGTCGAGGCCTCGCTCAATCGCCTTCTTGAACGGAACCAGAGCGCTCAGGCTCAGCTGTTCCAGCGATTCGGTGATGATGGGCACATCCAGTGTTGAGCCCAGGAACTCGAGGTTGCCGTACGAGGGGAAATGCTTACCCAGTGTCACCACCCCGGCCTCTTTGTAGCCCTGCATAAAGGCAACCCCAAACGCAGACACTTCCTGGGGGTCGTCTCCGGCTGTTCTGACCCCCAGCGGCTGATTACGTGCATTGGTCAGCACGTCGAGGCATGGGCCAAATATCCAGTTGATACCACAGGCCGCAATCTCCTGTGCCGTCGCCTTGGCCACTTCAAAGGCTAGCTCAGTCGACCCGGTGGCCGCCATGCCCATGTTGCTGGGGTACTGGCGGATGTAGATGTCGTCGAAGAGGCTGTTGACACCGCCATTTTCCTGGTCGATGCCGATTGCCAGCGGGACGGGGTGTCCGGCATCGTGGGCAATCTTCTGCAGCTCGTAGATGAGCTTGGTGGTGTCGTCGGCAGCTGCGAGGCATTAGTCGGAGCCGGTCACGCAGCACCAGCACGTGATAATACATTTTAGATTCTTGGCAGTCAAGAGGATGCAGCCAACGTGGTGCTCCTCGATCAGGTTACGGATGTGGGGAGTAACCGACGTGCCATCAAAGCCCATCATGAACAGCTGGCCCTACACGACCCCGGGTCAGCGAGTGCCACAGCGGCTGCCGAGCGGATAAAACCACGCACCATTGTTCTGCACGGCGAGCAAACGTTAGCACCCGTCTTTGGCTACGGTGTATGCGCATCTCGTCGTGGTGGCTGGGAGGCTGCCGCGATGCTCACCTGTCGAGATCCTCCCACACGGGGTCCATTTTCTCAACCTTGCCCATGATGGCAAATCGAGCCCGTCGCGTCGCGTCGAGTGCGTGGATGCGACGTGGGATTGCGGCGCGCACCGGGTCTTGGTAATACCGGTCGGTGGAGAGAAAAGATGGGGAAGATGGCACCGTAGCATTCACGGTGCTCCGAGATGGGCTAAGCGGCTAGCGAGCCGCTAACCAGGGCACGTCTGGTGCTGTGCCCATCGTTACACCACCCCCGGCCCTCTGTTATCAACGACATGCACCTCGATGCCACCCCACTTGCCACAGCAGTGCCTCTGAAAACCATGCTCGCCATCATGACCAGCCTGGTGTCATCATCGCGAGTCACTTTGGCTTCCTAGCGTCCACTCAGCCTGCGCAGCCCGACGGCGTGCGCTCATGCGGGCGTGCCAAAGGCAACTTTGCCCGCTCGCCGTGGATGACATGGTATCATCGTCCACACATGGCCCAAAGGTAAACGCAGTCATGCGCTGCGATAAGAGCAAGTGGGTAGGACACACTTCTTCATTGTGAAGCCTGTTGAGCCTGCTCGACCGCGCACAGCCAATCATTCCTTTCTCCTCTGGCTCTCATCACACTCCCTAACTTGTCGCCCACGCCTCTTTCCGTTCTCAAATCTTCCCAGTCGTCTGCCATCATCTTGAGATACCCCAGCCCAGCATGCCCTCGATCGCCCCCATGCCCTCTGCCGCTGCGGACCCCCAGGACTCGTCTGGCGTCATCAAGTTCACAAACTGCTTGCTAGTAAAAGGCAATGCGCTCGTCAGCGAAGACCTCTGGGTGAGCTCGACCAGCGGCAAGATTCTCAATGGACAGGAGCTTCTCTACGAACACCTAACCGCACCACAAGAGATTGTCGACCTGGGCGGCCGCATCTTGTCACCGGGCCTCATCGACACACAACTCAACGGCGCATATGGCTTCGACTTCTCCGTCATCCCCGACGAGGGCTCCATGGCATATGGCAAAGGCGTGTTTCACGTCAACCGGAAACTGATATCCACGGGCGTCACATCATACCTACCGACACTGACTTCACAACCTCCCGAGATCTACCAAACAGCTCTGCCCTTCCTAGGTCCCTCGGGCGCCGCCCGCGACGCATCTCTGGGCTCAGAGTCCCTCGGCGCGCACTGCGAAGGCCCATTCCTCAATCCAACCAAGAACGGCATCCACAATGCCTCGATACTGCAGGAACCGCAAAACGGCATTTCCGACGTGGAAGCATGCTACGGCGCATCCAACACATCCTCAATCAAACTCGTCACGCTCGCCCCCGAACTCCCCGGCGCCCTCGATTCCATCCCAGAACTCACGGAGCGCGGCGTGCTCGTCTCCATCGGCCACTCGGAAGCAACGTACGAAGAAGCGAAAGCCGGGATCCGCGCGGGCGCCAGCATGATCACGCACCTGTTCAACGCCATGCAGCCGCTGCACCACCGCAACCCGGGTATCTTCGGCCTGCTGGGCACGCCCTCGTCGTCGATCCGAAAGCCCTTCTTCGGCATCATCGCGGACGGCATCCACTTGCACCCGACGTCCATCAAGATTGCGTGGAACGCCCATCCAGACGGCCTGATCCTCGTCACCGACGCCATGAGGCTGGCCGGTATGCCCGACGGCACGTACGACTGGACCAACGGCTCGCGCATCATCAAGCAAGGCGCCTTGCTGACGCTCGAGGAGAACGGAAAGATTGCCGGTAGCAGCATCCAGCTGATAGATTGCGTGACCAACTTTCTCAACTGGACGGGGGCGAGCGTGCCCGAGGCCCTCAAGGCAGTTACGGAGACGCCTGCCAAGATGCTGGGCTTGCAGCATGTCAAGGGCGTGCTGGAAGAAGGCGCGGATGCGGATCTGGTGGTGCTGGATCTCCAGCCCGGTGCTGGGGAGGCAGAGATGAAGCTGGTTGTGGATGAAGTGTGGAAGTTTGGCGTCAAAGTGTTTGATAGCGCACGCCAGGGTTGAGCAAAGTTCCGAAAGGTCATGTATAGACGGGGTGACATAGGCATGTTCAGGCGCTGATCAAGTGTGGAGATTTGACAGCGAGCGCACGATGGTTAAGCAGAGTTTCAGAAGACCATACATACTTAGACTGAGATGGCACAGGAAGATTGCACGAATGAATTCCAATTTCTTGCATAGCGTCATCATCAAGGGGCATAATCTCTCTTTCTCTCTACTACCTCCGCTCGTCGCCCCAGAAGCTCCAAAAAAAACAGCTTGACATGCTGAAAAGGAAAAGAAGAAGGGTCATTATTCCATGCCTACTACTCTTACATCATCACGAAGACGCGGCGGTCCATCCACTTGTTGAATGAAGAAGAAGAAAGAAAAAGAAAAAAGAAAAAGATCTACCACACAATTAAGGGCAATCCAAGACCACAATCATGCGAGAGAAAGAGAGAGAGAGAGACACACACACATTTAGAAGTGTGGTGTGGCTAGCTAAATGGACTCATGAGCAAACTGCAAACTGCAAAAAAAGTCAAAAAAAACTTAGGAATTCATGAATGCTTGTCCCCCCGCCTTAATTGAACTATGCAAACCGTACGCTGTGCACTGTGTGGAGAAAAGAAAAAAGAGGCAAAGGAAAAAAAAGGGGGTTTGCATGCACCTATTCCGAGGTTGTGGGAACACACTGGACTCGACCAAGAGAGAAAAGAGAAGAAGGAAAAAACGAGGACACGAGGAGGTTGAGTGGGTCGAAACAAAGAGACCATGAGAACGGATGGGTGGGTGGGTATCTCGAAGCGAACCTGGTTGCTATGTTCGCTGTGTGCACATGGAATGGGTGGGTTAGTGGGAGAGAGATGGGCAGACGAACGAGACGAGACCAGGGCGAAGCCGTGGTCAGCAACACCTTCCGCTCTTAGTCTTCTGGACTCGGTTGATGTCTTCTTCCCACTCTTGCTGCTGGCCTGTAGCACCGGGCGTTGTGGGAAAGCCTAGCCAGCTTCGCCTCTTGTCGGCGGCGCCTAGGCGGAAGCTCCCGTTGGGAGCGCCAGGATAATCAAAGTAGCCAGTCACGTTGCCGTTGTTGTCAAGGACTGGCGTGGCGCCAGCCATGGTCAGTTGTCTCTGCTCCTCTTCAAGTTTCTTTTGCTCCTGCTCGACCAGTTTGCGCGTGATGACGCGGAAGACTTCGTCGACGCCCTCACCGTCTTTTGCACTGATTTCGTGGCAGCAGTCCCAGCCAATGTCTTGCCCCCAGAAGCCGCTAGACCGGTTGCTCTGCGGCGAGGCCATGGCGCCACTGTGGAAGGTTGCAGGCACCGAGCCCCAGCCATTTGACTGGGGATTGTGAGGTTGTGCGGGCTGTGCGGGGTAGAGGTTCTCGGCCACGTAGGCGATGCAGCGTTCAAAGGGCACCTTGCGCTTCGAGGGGTCTGCGGCTATGATGTCCGACTTTGTGCCTACAACGTGCAGGATGGTGTCGTCGCCCAGGTTCGTCTTGAGCTCCTTGAACCAGCGGCCCATTTCCTCAAACGACTGCGGGTCGGTGATGTCGTAGCACAGCACTGCGGCGTTTGCACCTGCACGCGACGAGGGTCAGTCTCGGATACGGCCGCTCCAGCAACGGGCTGAGGGAGCACGTGGGCGGCGACGGGGCAGGGAGCAGTGACAAACCTCGGTAGTATAGCTTGGAGATGGAGCGGAAGCGTTCCTGGCCGGCCGTGTCCCATATCTGCAGACGCACGACGGTCGACGTGTCGATGTCGACGACGCGCTTGGTCAGAAACGAGGCGCCGATGGTCGACTGGGTCGTGGGGGGCGTAAAGGCGTTCTTGACGTAGCGGTGGACGAGCGACGTCTTGCCAACGCCCTGGCTGCCGAGGACTACGATCTTTGCTTCGAGGCTACTCGACATGGCGGGCAGTCGAGGCGTGGCCGGGTTGGGGGCGAGGGCAGGTGCCAATGGTTGGGGGGCGGGCGGGCGGGCGGTGCTCTGCGACCACGACTACTGCTAGGTGTGCTACTGCTGCTGCTGCTGCTAGGAGACGGGTGTGGGGGTGGGTCAGTGGGTGGTGCGGCGGGCCAGGTGATCAGAAAGAGGCTGAGCTGTGGGCGGTCGCGGGGCCAGTGGCATGGCGTGCAGAGCGTCGCGGAGGGCCGCCAGGAGGCAGAGGGGCGGGGACCGGCGTCGCTGGGGGCATGCGGCGCGAGGAAAGGAGAGAGGGAGAGGGAGAGGGAGGGAGAGGCAGTGTCAGTATCCAGCGGCGGATGACATAGGCGTGCCGCGCTGTTTGGCGCTTGCAGCCCTTGCCGTGGCTACGGCGGCCCATGTGACGGGCGGCGCCAGGCCAATCCACAGCGCTGCGCCGTCGCAGCAGCCTGCATGGGGGGGGGGCTCATGGCGGGCTCATGGCGGCGAGAAGGGCGTGCGAGAGGGTGGCCGGGTGACGCTGGGCGAGGGCAGCAGACAGAGAGAGGCGCCAGGGTCGGTGTGGGAGCCGGCCGTGGTATATGGGATGGGGCAGTGGGCAGGCGTCATGCCCAGCCCGCAGCGCAACGTCTGCCCCGCGTTGCTGCACGCGCAGTAGTCGGCGTGGTATCCTGCCCAGCGGCCGATGCGTGTGCCGACTTGTACTTGTGCTTGGATGCTCGATGCCATCGGGGCGCCGGGATACTGGATGCGGATGCTGGCACTGATACTGATACCGATACCGATACCGATACCAATACGAAGCCTTCCCAGTTCCCCTGGGCGGGCCTCCCCCTCCCCCTCCCCCTCCCCCACAGTCGCCACGGATGCGGACGGGCGCGAATGGCCCGAGCCCCCCGTGCCAGGGCTGCTATGGCTACAGCTATGTCGATGCCGGCGCCAGCCTGAACCTTCCGCCCATCCTCCCGCCCATCCTCCCGTCCAGCCACGCCCGCGCCCGAGTGCCTGGCTGCTGCGGGCGTCGTCTCCATATATTTTGTCCTCCACCGCCGCCCGCCCATTGCTTATCCGCCGCCCGCCCTCACCGCCACCATGAACCGCGACAGCAACAACACGCAGCAGCAGAAGCTCTCGGGCGAGCACGTCGCCGCGCACAACAACGCAGACTCGTGCTGGGTCATTGTCCATGGCCGTGCCTACGACGTGACCGAATTCCTGCCTGAGCACCCCGGCGGCTCCAAGATCATCCTCAAGTATGCCGGCAAGGATGCCACCGAGGCCTTTGAGCCCATCCACCCGCCCGACACGCTCGACAAGTACCTCGACCAGTCCAAGCACCTGGGCGAGGTCGACATGAACACGGTCCAGCAGGACGAGAAGGAGCTCGATCCGGACGAGGAGGCGCGCCAGAAGCGCATTGAGCGCATGCCCATCCTCGAGCAATGCTACAACCTCATGGACTTTGAGGCCGTCGCCCGCAACGTCATGAAGAAGACGGCCTGGGCCTACTATTCCAGCGGCGCCGACGACGAGATTGTGAGTCCACGCCCGCCCCGGTCGTGCCCTTTTGCCACACACGGAGCTAATCCCTGGCCAGACATTGCGGGAGAACCACAGCGCTTTCCACAAGATCTGGTTCCGCCCGCGCGTCCTCGTCGACGTCGAAAAGGTCGACACCTCCACGACGATGCTCGGCACAAAGTGCGACATACCCTTCTACGTCACCGCCACGGCGCTGGGCAAGCTCGGCCATCCAGAGGGAGAGGTCGTCCTCACGCGCGGCGCGCACAAGCACAACGTCATCCAGATGATTCCGACATTGGCCTCGTGCTCCTTCGACGAAATCATCGACGCAGCAAAGGACGGGCAATGCCAATGGCTGCAGCTCTACGTGAACAAGGACCGCGCCGTCACCAAGCGCATTGTGCAGCATGCCGAGAAACGCGGCTGCAAGGGGCTCTTCATCACCGTCGATGCGCCTCAGCTGGGCCGTCGCGAAAAGGACATGCGAAGCAAGTTTGACGACGTTGGCAGCAACGTGCAGAGCACCGGCGGCGACAATGTGGACCGAAGTCAAGGCGCCGCACGGGCCATCTCGTCCTTTATTGACCCGAGCCTCAGCTGGAAAGATATCCCGTGGTTCAGGAGCATCACCAAGATGCCCATCATCCTCAAGGGTGTCCAATGCGTCGAGGACGTGATTCGTGCGGTCGAAATCGGCGTCGATGGCGTTGTCCTCTCCAACCACGGTGGCCGTCAGCTCGAGTTTGCCCGCTCGGGCGTCGAGGTGCTCGCCGAAGTCATGCCCGTCCTTCGCGCACGCGGTTGGCAAGATCGCATCGAGGTCTACATTGACGGTGGCATACGCCGAGCGACCGACATCATCAAGGCTGTAGCCCTGGGCGCTAAGGGCGTTGGCATTGGCCGGCCCTTCCTCTACGCCATGTCTGCGTATGGTCTGCCGGGTGTGGACCGCGCGATGCAGCTCCTCAAGGATGAAATGGAGATGAACATGCGCCTCATTGGCGCTTCAAGCATCGCAGACTTGAACCCCTCGATGCTTGACACAAGAGGACTGAGCATGCATACGGCACCTGTACCGCACGACACGCTTGGCTTGAATGTCTACGATCCCCTTGTCGGTCCACAAGAAAAGGTCGTCAAGGAAAAGTCAAAATTGTAAACGAATATATAGTTGTACTGTAATAAGCATGTCTAGCGCAATAGAATCTAGATTATTTCTTATTCTAATATGCAGGACCATACCACTACATGTACGCTCGAGTGGTGCGCTGTTATTACTAACCCCAGGGATCCTCAGGGATTCTAGACCTCCTGCAACGCGTCAAGCGAGGGTCTTGCAAGTGGGTTCCCGGTAGGGGCGTGGCCACGTGAAAGCGTGTTGGTGTGGAGAAGGCGATGATGGGTTGGCCGGAGCGGCCCATGGTCAAACGTCCGTGGGTCGCGTGGGATGCTCTGCGCACTTCAATGCCACAGCCCAGCATCCTCCCTCCACATCCTCCCTCCACCACTCTATATATATCCCCGCATTCTTATCGCGTCTGCGCTTCTTTTCCCCTTTGACTGTATTATTATGGAGGCTTCCGACGCATCAGTACAGCCGGGTCAGAGCTGGGACGAAGCGCAGTGTACAGAAGCACTCGCACAGCTAGAACGGCTTCAGACCCAGGTGCATAGGGGTTCTGTTTTTGCTTGAGTCTAGGCTGATACCTTTTACAGATAGATGATCTGCGCCTGGCGATTCCGCGAATAATCGAACCTTTCCACCGGCCCCCCAATGCGACGACCTACAAATTGTACGCGCAGGGCGTGCTCGGCTCCCAGAACGGCCTGAATGCGCTCAAGGACCAATGGAAACTCCCCGAGGTACAAAGCACATTCGAGCATGTCAAGCAGAGCTATGGCGCAAACGCGGATTTGTCCGAGAGTGTCTCGGTACCCTCCCACGGGTGGGTCGAACGAGCGCGGAAAGCAAAGAAGATCACAAACAAGAGCGGCAGCGATGTCGTCGAGGAATCCGGTACCATAATCACCGACGATGATATTTCACGAGTAGTCGTCGAGTTTCGCAAGACGCATCCAGGCCTCAAACTGGAGACGCACGACGACGACCACAGCATACATGTACAGTCTTCGCATCCATGGCAAACATCGCCTTTCTCACTCTACGACAGATTCAATTTGTTTCCGGCTCTGCCTTGCTCAAGTTCCACGTTGTCATCGAGCGTGAGGCAAATGGACGTCACAAACTCAGTGCAGAATGTCTAGGGATGGCTGAGCCATGTCTGGCCACCACGCGATGTCTTGCATCACGGCCACATGCAAACGATCTGAGACATCTACTGGTATGTTTGACTGGGCACGCAATACGTATGACAGGTATTAATCATTGCAGGATATGATTGTTGCCTACAAAACTATCAAAGGACCATGTGATAAATGTGCAAAGTTGCTAGACAGCGCCGTGCTGATGCCGACTGCGCGACGAAGTAAGCAAGTTGCTACTACAGAAGAAAATTTCGAAACAGTATGGGTAGCGCTACATGAGAGCTGTCTGGAGTGATTGAGCCTGGTGCGTATCCGATCGTTTTGAACCCTCGTTTAGTGAGGGGGAGAGAATGGAAGATGGTGGAATGGCACACCAACGCCAAACTCATTATCGATGTGGCCGGCCAAAAATTGCGGCAGATATTGGGTGTCCTGAAACCACTGCCCATCCAGCATTCGCACAGCTTCTGGATAACTATTCGCCTTCCTATTCTTGTATGGCTCCTGCTGCCAGATAGCATCCGTCCACGTCCATCGATTCGGTTTCACATATTTCCGAGTTCGAAAGTCGTAGCTCAGGCCGTATTCGCGTCCTCCGAGCATACTACTCTTAGTCCAAGGAGCAAACTTTTGCGAGTTAAAGCTGAACGTCATCCCGCGGTCGTCAAGATGGGGATATCCTGCCCACTGGGATCGCGGCGGGCGATTTGATACGCAGTCCGTCTGACGAGCACCAAATGCAACGTATATGTCAGGGCCGTTGTTCCGTAGGACGTCTTTGATGCGACCCCACGATGACCCGTTCTTGCCGTCCTTGGGCCAGATGAATGCTTTGGATGCCTTTACATCTCGCAGTTTGCGGCCATCCTGGTACCATCCCCGTTGGGGTCGGTCGCGAACATAACGAGCTGTCTCGTGTCTCCATCCATCGCCGGTGGACACGAAGAAGGGAAAGTCCGGCAGAGTATTGGACATTTTGCGAGGTTGTCAATAATGGTGTGGTTTTGGAAACTCTGCGGATGTTGTAAAGCACCACGTCTTTGACAAGTTATACTATTTCGCGTTTGCTGCCTCGGATTGTAAAGATGGACCTTTTGATGGTCGCGGCATGGTCATGAGTATAGATGTTTGTGCATGGTGCGGTACCTTCGGGAATACACAGTTGTTTCCATGATTTCAACATACAATCAATTGTGTGAAGTCTAGCCGTCTCTTGGCTCAACAAGAATTCCACAGGGTCGGGGTCTTGTCGACTGCATGGTAGACAGGAGATGGCACCAGCTGGTTCACCTTGACGCGGTACCTGAGTGACAGGGATAAAAATGTCCGAGCTTCCTCGTTGAACAACGCGATCTCGTTTCTCCAGGTTTGTTTTCGGCACCATCACAACACGGCTCAACGCACCTACAATGTCGCTGTTCGGTAATCTTGGAGGCTCGCAGCCTGCCTCTAGCGGCACTTCGAGTGGAGGATTGTTTGGAACAGCAGGAGGCGCGTCAAGCGGCACTACACCGAGCTTGTTTGGCAACCTGGGCGGAGGAGGCACACCGAATGCGCAATCCGGCACGACACAAGCGACAAGCAGCGGCCTAGGCGGCAGTCTATTCGGCGGTCTGGGTGCGGCAAAGTCGACTGCCACTACGACGCCTTCGCTGTTCTCGGGCGCAGCATCGACGTCGCAACAGCAGCAGCAGCAATCGCAGCCGCAAACGGGAGGCTTCTCGCTGTTCAACAACACGGCGTCGCAATCGACTACGAACAACACGCAGCAAACGAGCGGCCTCGGCCTCGGCCAATCCTCCCTCTTCAACACGACGTCGACCCAGCAGCAGCCCCAGCAGCAACAACAACAGCAGCAGCAAGGCGTGCCGTTGACCCAGGCAAACGCAGGTTCCGGTCGCTCAGCCCATTTTGACCATCTCTTGGAAAGGGGGCGCAAGCGCAACGCTGGCGAGAATGGCATCGGCAACTTTGATGAGCTCCCGTCTCTGCAGCTGGGTCTGGGGGACATTGCCCGCAAGGTGCGAAACCTCGGTTCTGGAGGCCCTTCAGCGGACCAGGTTCAGGACCGCGCCCAAGATCGCGCCGCGTAAGTTGGCATGTGAGCCGCAGATTGATTTGTACTGACGCTCTTTAGCCACTACCTTTTGTCCGCTTCTGGCGTGAAACTGGGCAGCACGCTCCGCGACCTCAATCAGTTCTCCTCCCAAGCAGGCCTCGCTGCACCTGGGCAGGCTCCGAATCTCTTCGACAGCGATGTTGACGGCTACATTTCGAACCTGCACTCGCAGTCTACGCTGGCCCTCATTCAAGAAGGGCTAGAGCAGTCCAAGCGCGACTTTGACACCTTTCTCGAAGACAATGTTCAGATTGAATGGGACAAGCAGCGACAGAGGATTTACGAACACTTTGGCCTGGGCAGACAGAGCGAAGACATGGCGGCGTCGCAAAGCGCCTTTGGTAGCACCGCTCGGGGAGCTTTTGGACGCGCCACAGCACGCAAGGGTCGCTCCATGGGCCCCGGCGGAGCGTCGGTCAATGGACGATCCACTTTTGGAGCCTCCGCTGCTGGGCCACCCGTCCTTGGTGCTTCTCAAAGCGTCTTGGGCGGACGCGATGCGTCTGACAAGTCCGTCATGGGCGGACAGAGTGGCCCACAGGACCGATATGCACGAGACAAGCAAGAGAAGTTCATGGACGAGGTCAGGAGGCTGAATGAGTCAAGACTGCGAGAAGAATCCTTCTCGGTGCTTCACTCATTCTCGGACGTGGAGAAGGCTGCTGGCACAGAGTACTCGGAGCACTTTATCAACGCTTACGGAGCGCTCGTCTCAATCACCGAAGAGAAGACTGAAGCGGAAGCATCAAACCCCGGCTCGAACCAACCCAAAGAGCGGAGCTTTTCCAAAGACTACCTGGACGACCAAGCCAACTCTGTTGCCAGTGTGCGCATGCGCAAGCGCATACTTGACGGGTCCCGCAAGTACCTCGAGAACAAGTTTTTGGAACATGTGGACGAAGTATTGCGAAAGAATCCTGCAGAGGCCCTTGTTGGCGGTGTTCCCTCCATGGTCAACAAGATCCGTGGCTTCGTAAGGGCCAAAGCCGCGTTCAAGGAGCTCGGCGCGGATACTGAGCTGTTCCAAAGAATAGGCGAAGCGGGCGATGAGTTCCCTTGGATCATCATCTTCTTCCTGCTAAGAGGCGGTCTCCTAACTGAAGCTGCCGACTATGTGCGAGAGAAGAGGAACTTCTTCCAGAATACCGACAGAAATTTCCAGTCGGCAATCACACAATATGCCACCGATCCTGACCGCAGGCTAAGCCCGGACACCCAGCAAAAGGTTGCCCATACACACGCCCAGAGGACTCGTTTAAAGACACCTGAAGATCCTTACCGCATGGCGTGCTACAAGATTGTCGGTCGATGTGACATGAGCAAGCGCAACCTGGAGCCTATCAAGGAGACCATGGACGACTGGGTATGGCTGCAGTTCAACTTGGCGCGCGAAGGCAACAGAGCTGAAGAGAATGCTGGTGAGATATTTGGTTTGGAGGAACTCCGCACGACTATCAAGGACATTGGCCAGCGCCACTTTATGAACGACGCGGCCGAGTCTGCCGGTGGATATGGAGTTTATTTCTATCTGGCCACCCTTGCTGGCTTGTTTGAGCCAGCCGTCAACTATCTCTACACCCACAACTATGTCTCTGCGGTTCATTTCGCAATCGCCCTCGACTACTACGGACTCTTGCGAGTGTCGGACTGGACCACAGCTGGCGGTGAAATCCTGACATACACGACACGCCAGCAACCGCAATTGAACTTTGGACGCGTGGTTGGCCACTACACGAGCGACTTCCGAGCCGCCCGAGCTGACGCTGCCGCTGACTACCTGGTATTGATTTGCCTGAATGCCGACCTGCCAGGTGAGGCAGGCAGGCAACAGGCAGAGCTTTGCCATGAAGCGCTACGCGAGCTTGTCCTCGAAACACGCGAGTTCTCTACGTTATTGGGCGACGTCAAGTCGAATGGACAGACGACACCCGGTCTCATTCAGGAACGTGTGCCACTGCTGAAACTTGATGGCGAAATGGGCTTACTCAACACCATCACTAGCGAAGCTGCAAGGATGGCAGACGACAATGGACGCATCAACGATGCCATCTTGTTGTGCCACCTGGCTGGCGAGTACGACAGTGTGGTGACAATTTTGAACCGCGCGCTTGCTGAAGCACTTTCGGTGGAACTTGGCCAGGAACCACTTCGTCTGGAGCCGCTTAAGCCGCGCTTGACGACGACGGAGCCGCAACAACAGCAGCAGTCTGATGCAACTTCATCGAGCCTGAGCATGCTTGGAACGGACGATCCTGTAGAACTTGCACAGAAAGTTCTTGCTCTGTACGATGCAAACAGCCTGTGGTGGAGGAAGGTTTCGCAGGTGAACCGTGATACAGTCGGTATACTATTCCAGCTCAACAACGCAAAGAAGGTCATTGAAGCCGGAGACTACATGGCAGCACTCGGAGTAAGTTTCAACATCCCTAAGTTGGACTACCGGTTTACTAACAGCTTTTAGCAAATCGAGAACCTCCGTATCCTCCCTCTGTCAGCTGCAGGCAACGTCAGCGATATTCGCGCCACGGCCAACAGTTTCAATTCGTATCCTCAGGAGATCTCACGGAACATTGGCAATGTCCTTCTCTGGTGCATTGGCTGCTGCTCAAGGCACCGCGAGCGTCTGCTTTCTGGACAATTCGAAGACCAGATGCGCAAGGTGCTCGCAGACCAGCTGCTCCAAAAAGCCAAGGACTTGATGGTCTTTGCTGGTTTGATCAAATACAAGTTGCCGCCTCGGGTGTTTGAGACCCTGGCACGGGAGGGACTGGAAGTCGGCGCTTTTTAATTGAAACGATAATGCGGTAGTAATGCTTCCAGACTAGACGTCTGCACGCGGCCTGATGATGACACATGGTTGGAGGCTTTGGGCTTTTGGAAATCAGAAAAGAGGGTGCGGTAGAGGCATCAAAGGCAAAGGAGGGCTTGTATTGCGCGTCGAGTGGGCACGTTGGGCGGGCATAGAGTGATACCAAGAAATCATTATAATTGAATTCTTGCTTGAATACCAAAGACGCGGGCATCAGGTGACAGGGACCGGTGAGGAGGGGTGTGGCGGCGGCCAAGTTTTGGGCCGTACATAGCGCCATGGTCTTGTACATGCAACTCGGGTAGGAAAGGGTAACAACTGAGTCGCAGGCACCGTTGGCGATGGCCGGACGAGAAGTCGTTGGTGTTTGGGCAATGCTTGGCGCGCCTGGCGGATCGGCGGAGGTGTGTGACCCCACTCTGCGGACCGGGGAGCTCTTTTCTTTTGGGGCTCCCACGTCATTCGCGTAAGAGTTGCAACAAATCGGACCACGACCTTATCGTCGTGGGTTGGCACTGCATACAAAGCGCTACGCTGCTCGCCCGTTGCTGCTAGCCAAAGACCAGAGCAACAAAACGCACTTGCTGCCATCACCGCCCTCCAGATTAACGCCTTGAGATTTGTCATTGCAAGCGTGCAACTCGGCAAAGCTACCCCTCCCTGCCCACCACCGACCCTCGAAGCTTGCTTCTCAACACGTACGGACCCGCTTCTTTTGGCGTCTCTACTTTTCAGCTAGACGGGTGAATCCACTTTGACCTCATAGCGACCCACGGCCAAAGATCTTTTCGGTCCTCCGCCGCCTGCCACTGTTTTCGGCTTGCGCAACCATCACCACTACTACCTTCTTCTTCTTCTTCTTCTTCTTCTTCTTCTTCTTCTTCTTCTCCTCCTCCTTCACCTACTAACCCCACACCCCACCTAATACCACATTCATACCCAGCACAAGATGGCGCCCACTGAGATTCCGCCGCCCCTCGAGGGCAAGAAGAGGCGCATTGGAGTCATGACGAGTGGAGGAGACGCGCCCGGCATGAACGGCGCAGTGCGAGCCGTCGTTCGCATGGCTATCCACAACAACTGCGAGGCCTACGCCATATACGAGGGCTACGACGGCCTGGTAAAGGGTGGTGACATGATCAAGGAGATGAAGTGGGAGGACGTCAGAGGCTTCTTGTCAGAGGGCGGCACACTTATCGGCACAGCGCGATGCATGGAGTTCATGCAGCGCGAAGGGCGCCGAACAGCCGCAAAAAACCTCATCCTCAAGGGCATTGACGCAATCATCATCTGCGGTGGTGACGGCTCTCTCACAGGTGCAGACAAGTTCCGCGCCGAGTGGCCGGAGCTGCTGAATGAGCTGGTTCAAGAAAAGCAGCTCACACAGGAGCAAATTGAGCCCTTCAAGCACCTCAACATCGTCGGCTTGGTCGGCTCGATTGACAACGACCTGTCCATGACCGACGCCACAATTGGATGCTACACGTCACTTGCCCGCATCTGCGAAGCCATCGACTCGGTCGACACCACCGCCGTAAGCCATCAGCGAGCATTCGTCATCGAAGTCATGGGCCGGCATTGCGGATGGCTCGCCCTTAGCGCCGGTGTTGCCACGGGAGCAGACTTTGTCTTTACACCTGAGAACCCACCAAACGAAGGCTGGGAAAAGGAGATGTGCCGACAGATCAAGAAGCACAGGTCACTGGGAAAGCGGAAGACTATTGTCGTTGTCGCTGAAGGAGCCATCGATCGTAACCTGAAGAAGATTACATCACAGCAGGTCAAAGACGTGCTTGCAGACGACGCAAAGCTCGACACGCGTGTGACGACGCTTGGACACGTCCAACGTGGAGGCACACCGTGTGCTTATGATCGTATGCTTGCCACACTCCAAGGAGTGGAGGCCGTCAAGGCAGTTTTGGACGCTAGCCCCGATGTTCCCAGCCCGGTCATTTGTATGCAAGAGAACAAGATTGTCCGGCGTCCCCTCCTCGAGGCCGTTGCACAAACCAAGGAGGTCGCTGTAGCTATCCAGAACAAGGACTTCCACCGGGCGATGGAGCTCCGTGATACCGAGTTTGAGCAGCAGTACCAGGCTTACCAAATCACCACAGCTGCCGACCAGCCAGAGCTGCTATTACCTGAGGATAAGCGCCTGCGCGTCGGTATCATTCACGTTGGCGCTCCAGCTGGAGGGATGAACGCAGCGACCCGTGCTGCCGTAGCGCACTGTCTTGCTCGTGGCCACACACCAATTGCACTTCACAACGGTTTCCCCGGCATAATCCGCCACCACTCGGATGAGCCAGTCGGTGCGGTCCGAGACATCAAGTGGATCGACGCTGAGACTTGGTCGTCAAAGGGAGGTTCTGAGATTGGTACCAACCGTGGACTTCCCAGCGAGGACCTCGAGACTGTTGCGTTTGTCTTCAAGAAGTACAACATCCAGGCCTTGTTTGTTGTTGGTGGATTCGAGGCGTTCACAGCAGTTTCGGAACTGAGAAAAGCACGCGAACACTACAAAGCTTTCAAGATCCCAATGGTGAGTAGCCTCGATCGGATGGGTTCGTGGCAACTGAGCATGTGCTAATGAATCAGGTCATCCTCCCGGCTACAATTTCGAACAACGTGCCTGGAACCGAGTACTCGATTGGCTCAGATACGTGCTTGAACGCACTCATTCAGTACTCTGACGCCTGCCGCCAATCCGCATCGGCGTCCCGTCGTCGTGTCTTTGTAATTGAGACTCAAGGTGGCGAGTCGGGTTACATTGCGACTGTTGCCGGTCTCAGTATCGGAGCTCTGGCTGTGTACACTCCAGAAGATGGCATTGACCTCAAGATGCTGGACCGCGACATTGACCACCTGCGCGAGGTGTTTGCCAAGGACAAGGGTATCAGCAGGTCTGGTAAAGTCATCTTGGTCAATGAGAAGGCGTCAAAGACGTACTCGGTACAAATCATTGCACAGATGATTGCCGATGCGGGCAAGGGCAAGTTTGAGTCACGCCACGGAGTCCCTGGTCACTTCCAGCAGGGCACCATCCCCTCACCCATGGACCGTGTCAGGGCGGTGAGGTTCGCTACCAAGGCCATGCAGCATCTCGAGAGCTTTGCCGGCATGAGCCCAGAGGACATTGAGGAAGACTCCATGTCCGTCACTGTCATTGGTATCAAGGCGAGCAAGCTGCTCTTCTCCCCCATGGAGTCGGTCGAGAAGAAGGAGACGGAGTGGCACCGACGACGTCCCAAGCACGAGTTCTGGATGGCGCTCAAGGAGACGGTTGACACACTGTCTGGAAGGCCCCAGGCCCCAACCAACCCCACTGATATCGATACCCTCGCCGGTCGCCCTGCTAAATAGGCCCGTGCAATGAATGGTCTGAGGCTATAAGTCCTCGGATGTGTGAAGGGGCAGGAGCTTCCAAGCGGCATGATGACACGCTGTAGATGTAGATTCCGACCTATGATAACGAACTCTGAATGCTATGATGATTCCCTAGTCTAGTCTACTCTTCCTGGAAAGCCTTGAGACTCTCATCGTTCCAACTGAGAAACTTGCCACTTAATTCCTTTCCAGCGCCCACGGCCAGCTTGGCAATCACATGGCCCGGCTGCTCGGGCTTCAGCAATCCACCGCTCGTCTTGAGCCCGCTAAACTTTTCCCGATCTTTTTCGCTCATGTGCGCCGCGTGCACCTCGCGGATCTCGCGCTGCATCTCCGTGTCCACGACGCCGGGCCGCAGCGATATCGTCGTCACGTCGGGCTCTTCCACGGCCAGCGTCAGCGCAAGATGGTTTAGCACGGCTTTTGTCGCGCCGTAGCAGCCCCAGCCTTGGTATGCCGAGACTGCTGCTCCAGACGAAACTAGGATAATCCGGCCTTTGGAGGCGCGTAGCGCGGGGAGTGAGGCTTGGATCTGTGGGGGGGGGGGATATCAATACCTATACACCGAGAAGAAAGGGTACTTAGAAAGCAGACGTACCAACTCCACGGCCGAAAAAACATTGACTTCAAACCCCTTCCTCCACTTGTCCACACTCGCGTCGCTAACGCGCGCCACAGGCTCCAGCATCCCGTGATTCAGCACCACGGCATCGAGGCGGCCCCAGCGCTCGTGCGCCAGTTCCACCGCCCGCCGCGATACGGCTGCCGAGCACATGTCGCCGGCAAGCACCTCGACGAGGTCCGAGCCGTACTGGTAGTGCAGCTGGTCGAGCGCCGTGTGTGTGCGTGATACGAGGATTAGTTTGTGCGCGTGAGAGAGAAGGTGGTGGGCTGTTGCGAGACCGATTCCTGCATCACGGGGAGGGTTAGAGTGGGCTTTTGGGGGTTAGGATGGTGGGAATGGGAGTAGGAAGAGAGGAGAGGGGGAGTGGAAATGGGAAGATAGATGCTCCTTGTGTGTGTGTGTTTTTTTTTCTCTCTCTCTCTTCTAAACACATGGTTTTTCTGTGTTCTGCATCTGCATCCGTGTATATGTATGTGCATATGCTTTGTTACAAGATTCGCACGCCGCAATGCTAACACGCGGCGTTTTGCGCTCCCGGGCATCAGCGGGAAGCAAAAAGCCCAAGTACAATCCCATCTTTGTATGCGTGCACTGCATTTTTCTGTTACAGCCGTCGTGAGAGAAAAAAAGGGCTTAGACGTGTGTACAAATGTGTGCGTATATGTGTGTGTATAAACGTGCATGTGTGCATGTATATACATATGAACATCTTTTTTTTTTGCTCAAACGTACCTCTCGAAGCCCCAGTAAGTATTATCACCATTCCCTTTGATTCGCTCATTTCGGCCCCCCTCCTTAGTCGATTGGCTGATTGATTGGCTAGCTGCTTTTTTGTTTGTTTGTGGCTGTTTGCGGGCGCGCTACGGGTATGGATGGTTTGGAGGGGGGGGGGGGGAGGAAAACTTTGGGGTGGGAAGGGCGGGGAGAGGGGGAGGGGTAATACGTCATATTAGTCAGCTGTTTGTAGCTGGTTATCTTTGTGTGTAGGTACGGAGGTGGGGAGGTGGGAATTCTTATCTTGGGTTGTGTTGTGTTGCTGATTTCACAATTTTTTTCCCCTATTTAGGTTAAAAAAAAGAGAATTGGAAGAGTAAAGTTATTAGGTGTATGCTGCATCAAAATGTCTATGCTATTGAAGGCTGTATGTAGACGTAATTTGGTTAGTATTGCATATGCGTATAGACTTGTTCAACAACAATGTGGATAAGTTTGTACAAATAAAATCGCATGACTGTAGGAAGTCAAGATTGTGCAACTTGAGAAATTTATCTTGATACTGCGATCCTCCATGTGGTAAGCAGCATCCAATCAGCGCTGCTGCTGCCACTCCTTGCATTAGAGGCTGACATTGAACTTCTCGTTTACCTCTAACATTGCAGAAAAATTAGACAGCTTGGGAATTTCACAACGACCTCGAAGAGCTAAGAAATCTCTGTGCCTTGGATTGCTATGTTCGTAGTCGACACAGTCAGTAGCAGTCCGCAGTTAACCTACATCAGTGTGTCCAGGCAAAGGTAGTTCTGGTACTTGACATTGAACACAATCATTTCATCGCATGCAGAAACCAGAAATGTGCAGCACTTTGTTCTGGGAAAAAAAAAATCAATACAGGCGCCCCTCAAATCAGTCTTGCATCTGTTGTCCATGGGATTGAAGGTAGCTGTGGTGCGGAGAGTCGTGCCTGACTCGAAATTACGAGTATTCATCAGATGTCATAGCAGAGCAGAACTCTTGATGTTTTTTTTTGCAACTCTGCTGTGAAACAACATATGGGAATCGCCACGGCGGCGGGTCGGCCTGTGGATGTTGCGTCCTAGCCTAGAACCCATGGCCCAGAATGTGGCGCTGTGGTTCCTCCTGTGGGACTAGCATCGTAGCGGTAGTGCCATTGCCATCGCTATGACCCGCCTCCAGGTCTCATGTGCATGCGCAGTGATGTTATAATGTGGAGCCAGGAAGAAGGACATTTTAGGTTTGCCGCGTCATTCAGGAAAAGAGGTGGAGGATTTGCTTTGCGAGTTCCTATGTGCATGTGTGCCTTGACGTCATAGTCGTTGCGCAACCAGTGGCCCCAGTGTTTCACGACGACGTAGCCCAGACACAAATAAACAACGAATGTTGGACTATGAAAAAAAATAAGCTTTGGAATTGAACAGACTAGATACGTCGTTGTCAGCGCTAGAATAAGCTGTTATCGGCGCAGCTAAAAGGCGCGCTTAGATTACTATTCGGGTCGTTGTATATGTCGATCAACGCCGTGAGAGACGTGTAGAGACCGCCAATCATGAGGAACACCGTCATGAGCATGATGGAGTAGTTGATGACGGCGAGGCATCGCTGGCGCGGCGTGCTCCATTGCGTGGTCCAGTTCATGTGCAGCCAGAAGATGCTGGTGAAGCCAAAAGTAAACCACGAGACGAAGACGGCGGAGGAAATGTTGAGGATGGAGGAGAAGATCGGGACGGCATTGCAGATGACAAAGGATACGGTCCAGAAGAGCGCGCCGAGACCGATCCATAGCGTCCATGTGAAGGCGTTGTGCACGTTGACCTGGTCGGGCTTGGTGGCGCGCATGATGGTGATGTACTACAAGTAAGCGTTAGTTTTTGACGTTGGACAAGACAAAAGGCGGGTACCTACCATGTATTTGATAGCTGTGATGCCAATGACGAGACCCGTACCCAGAATTGAGGGGATCAGGATGCCATAGGCGATTTTAGCCGTGATCTTGGGGGCAGAGCCCAGAGCAGGCGAGGTGGTGGCATCGCCGGCTAAGCCGTAAATTACGCAGGCCACAATAATGTATATGACGACTTCGAATGACTTTTGCATGAAAAGAGCTGGTGGAAAGTCCTTGGAGGCGTCCTTCATCTCCGCCATTACAGATATAAAGGACTGGTTTCCCGCGAAGGCGAATGCAATGTTCAACAGTGCGTTGATGGTTTGAATGAACGTCGGCTTTCCAATGAGCGTTATGGAAACCTCGAATCCAGGAGGTGCCTCTGGTCCTGAGACACCGAGTGCAACCATGACAATCATGACTGCAGCGACGGTGGAAATTGTGCATACCCAGCTGGCCGCCGCGGCGAAGGTGAGTTTCCGTGGAATGGTTAGCAGCCAGCAGACAATATGCGGAAAGGCCATGAAAGCCACGGTACAGAGAGCGTGCTCCGACAGCGTGTTGAGAGCGATTGACAGGGTCACATTGACCGAGGCGCAAATCAAAACGAGGTTGAAAATGAAGACTACACCGAGAAAATACTCGAACGGCTTCCCCCCAACATACAAGGCGCAATCGACGAGATTGGTGGTCATTTTGTAGAGGTTGTGGAATTGGAGGAGGATATAGCCGCAATAGGTTGTGAGGCCGCCAAAGCCCAAGATGGCGATGATGCCTGGGATAAGACCCAGCGTCTGGAGAGCCTGAGGGAGACTGAGAATGCCAATTCCAACCTCGATCGTGATGAGAATTACGCAGGCTCGCCATCGACCCAGCGTCTTGTAGTCTTCTCCCTGGGTATGGGGGTATTCAGATGCTCCTGGGAAGCCATCGCCCGTCCAACCAGTCGTGATGTCGGTGTTGTGTCCGTACGTCTCCAAGTCCTTTTCCGAGTCGGGCGCGAAATCCTCACTGGAAGGCGCCTTGTGTTCTTTTTTGAGAAAGGTCTTCAGACCCATGGCTGAAGCGGCGGTAATGATGCAGAATGAGGTACAACAAGGTACAAGACTGAGAATAGTTTGGTTCCGACCGAGAAACGGCGAAGCATCGTCTTTTGAACCAAGAGACCTCCTGTATCGGCCATGGTCAACATATCCTAGGACGTAATGTCTGCTAGCGGCCGACCTGACCCTAGCAAGATCGCCTCGTGAAAGCACCACTTTTCAACACTGCGGTCCGGCCACTACGGCGGACCCTCGAAAGACATGGCCATGCTATCATGTCTGCCAGAGCGGAGTGCAGTTTGTGGGGGAAAGGCACCATAGGGCTACAAGCGGACTAGAGAGACGCAAACGTCGCTTGTTGTATGGTCGGTAGCCGACGCATTTTGTGTTTTGATGAGCTCGGTGGGTCGTGGTGAGTAATAGCCTCCGCCCGTGTCCTGTTCAGATCCACATTATCACGTAAAACTCTTCGAGAAATTTGCCGGACCCGTCTTGCCACTTGGCAACGCGTTGGCAGCATCCGCAGTTCGGAAGCCAGAATGCAAGGGCACAACTGGGCCGGTTTGGTGGGTGTCGGCGAAAAACTTGGGCTTGACGACGTGTATGGCGTGTTGGGGTGGTGAGGCGATGTGCGATGAGGCTCAAGGGCAGGCGATGCAGTGTGGTGGGCCTTTGCGGGAGCTAACGAATCGGTGCTAGGGTGATGTGAGCACAACATCAACAGGCAATGCAGCACACGAGCACGAGAGGGGCGGCTTATGTCGGGGTGCGTTGGTGTTGTTGCATCTGGGGTTTAACAAGGGTGGCGGTCTAGTCGAAAAGGGTCTTTCTGATGGTCATGCCAAGCCGTGGTTGATACTGTCTGGTGGAACAGTTATTAAATTTAGAGGTGCATCCAGGCTGCCAACGATGTGAAATTGAACTTGTCGCGGTGTGTCATATTTGATTGTAAAGTAAGCATCTACATAATGGCAGCAGTAAAAATGGGTAGAGCAGCAGCTGCAGCCAAGTAGAGCCGTGAGCAGTCACGTGATGTAGCGGCGAGAGCATACTTTCTCGTGTTGGGAGACGGAGATAAAGAGACTAAGTAGGGCTATGGAAAGATATTCCGTATATGTAAGTAGAGAGACAGATATCGGACGATGTGGGAAGACGGCGGAATGGGGGTAGGGGTCTGGACCAGCGCATCCATGGCATACAGAGGCCGGGCCGGCGTGCATGCAGGAGACGAGACCCATCTAGTGTGTGGTGAAGGGTGTCTTATCACTCACCCGACTTGTGCGCATGATGGCGGTGAGTGGCCCGTGTGTCCTCGTCCAGACGCGCCAGGCGCCCGCAGTCCCGTGGCCGGCGACTTGCTGCTTGGATGCGCAGCTTGTTGCTTCGCCATGCGACACCCGACAGCGCACCATGGCGATGCAAATGCACACAAGGCGGCCATGACGTCGTCGCAGGCCGATGTCACGGCGACGAGGATGCCGCAGAGCCGCCAACCTCGTACTAGGCGTAGGTCGTGTGTTGAAGGCTGCGCGCTAACCCGTTGGGGCGCCGCCATGTGGGGGGTGGTGAGGATGGGAGCCAGGTTCCCCAGCGCGCCATGCAGACGCCGTATGGGGAAATCAACGGGCGTGAGACTGCCAGCGCTGTCACTATCGCCAAAGTAATAATGGCAAGCGTTGCGTTGGTTGGTCATGGGGCGGCGGGAGGCGAGAATGCTGGCGCGGCGACAGTATTGATAGGACAATGGCAATGGGCAAGGCCTGCCAGGTGGCGTCTGCCACTGGGACGCTGCCGATCCTCCCGTCCTAGTGGCGCCTCGGAGGCCAACACCGACCAGAACTTTCCTTCCACCACCCTTCTTTCTGTATTCCTTAGCACACTCACCGCTATCGCTCCCCTCTGCCCTCGCCCACGGTACTCGCACTCGCTCTCGTCTTGTCTGTCTGCTTGCTTCTTTGCCCGTGAATCCAGGCCCAACCGCAGCAGGAGCTCTACTCACATAGCACCCCTCGCGCCGCCCCGAGCTCAAAACCACGACTGCGTGTTGGCCGAAGCCGTAAGATTCATACCAGGTTGCAGAATGCCATTTCTCACAAATCCCCCAAGAACTAGTTCTCCCAATGCCCCCGCCGACAACAACGACGAAAGATTTCCCGCCGCCCAACTCGGCCTCCTAGGTATGTGCCCCCTATTGCGCTGCCCGCATTGTCACATGCACCCAGCCCGAGCCTTGCACTGACATGGCCATGCAGCACTCGTTCGAGTCGCCGAGCCAATTGCGCTCACTTCAATTCTTCCATATGCCTGGAAGCTCGTCTCCGCCTTCCATGTGGGCACTGAAACAAACGCGCCCTTTTTCGCTGGCCTGCTCATCTCGGCCTTTTCGCTCGCAGAGGCCTGCAGCGGCATGTACTGGGGCAGTGTTTCCGACCGCGTAGGTAGAAAACCCGTTGTCATACTCGGATGTCTGGGCACAATGTCCTCTCTGCTACTCGTTGGTCTAGCCCCCAACTTTTGGGTTGCACTCGTTGGCAGAATCATTGGCGGTGCCCTCAATGGAAACATTGGCGTCATTCAGACCATGGTGGGAGAACTAGTCAAGAAGCCTGAACACGAGCGTGAGTACAGCAACGTGCGCCGCAAACAATTGGGATGCTGACTGGTTACTAGCAAAGGCGTACGCCGTCATGCCATTCGTCTGGAGCATTGGTACCATCATAGGCCGTAAGTCGTACTCTCCCCCCGCTCCAAAACCCCCAATCGCTGACTGCCATAGCCTCGATCGGTGGCTATTTTGCCGAGCCTGCACGCAACTTCCCCTCGGTTTTCAGCCCTACGGGCCTCTTTGCCAAGTTCCCGTACTTCTTGCCAAACATCATCTGCGCTTCCCTTCTCTTGCTGTCGATTCTCATGGCATATTTCCTCTTGGATGAAACCCACCCCGACAAGCAACCCCACGGGTTTTTCCAACAGTACGATGCGGCTGTTGCAGAGACCCCGCTCCTTCCCGCTCAAGGCGCAACCGCAGACTCTGCGGCCAACCTGACGGCAGAGTCGTATGGAACCTTCAACGCAGTCGAGGTTGAGCGCGACGAAATCTGGCGTGTGCGCTCCAACGGAGACTGGATCGAACAACCAGCCAACGACAAAGTCTTTACACGACCTGTGATTATGTTTGTTATAGCGCTGGGCATCTTCACGTACCACTCGGTAAGCCAGCGAGTCACTCTAGCAAATTTATTTATACTAACTGCTACAGATGACATACGACCACCTTCTACCCATCTTTCTCCAGGATAAGCGTGCCCACGACGATATGAATGCACTAGACATAACCTCGTCCTCTCTGGGCGGTGGTCTTGGCATCCCCATTCAGCAAGTCGGCATCATCCTTTCTCTCAACGGCATCATCCAGCTCGTCATCCAGGCCTTTGTCTTTCCTGTGCTGGCTGACTGTCTTGGCGTATGGAGACTACTGCTCATTGTCACACTGGCGCATCCGATTGCGTATTTCATTGTGCCCTTTTTGCAACTCCTTCCTGAGAATACCCTTTACCCGGGTTTGTTTGCTTGCCTGACGGTGCGAAATCTAACATCGATTCTGGCGTTCCCACTGCTACTCATTATGATCAAAGAGGCCACCCCCGACAAGGCACACCTCGGAAAGATCAATGGACTGGCTGCTTCAACAGGTGCTGCTTGCCGCACAGTCGCTAGCCCCATTGCAGGATTGCTCTACGGGTTGTCCATCGAGCTGCGGTTCACACCGTTGGCATGGTGGTGCTCTGCCCTGGTCGCGATTTTCGGAGCGCTCCAGGTGCCTTTTCTCAATCGCGCAGCACATGAGTGTAGCGCTCAAGTGCGCCCTGCAGCCCGATGCAGCTTCGTCGAGCGCCGGCGAAGCGAAGTGGTACACATTGTGGTCGAAGACGCAGCCTGACAAATGCACGGTTGCAGGAGAGGTTTCAGGACAAGTGGTTGTTTTCTTTTCCAGCATTTTCCTGCATTGTCTAGACTGAGGAATAGCGATGCAATTGGACGGCGTTGTGGGATTCACGATACCAGAATGGCGGATGGGTACATGGGCACTGGCGTTTGGCGAGGATAGCATGGCATGTCGACATTTGCAAAGACATGCTCACTCGCGCTGGTAGCGTTTTCACACATGGCTTTTCTCAGGGCATTTATAGCAATAGCATGCATTCACTCGTGCTCATGTTCTCGACGTGATGCTTTTTCTGCACAGTGTCGTGGTGGACCAGCAAGGACAGGCTGCGGGCATAAAGCGGTATGGTTCATGCAAGGTCCTTGAATGATGACGGGCAACATGGCTCGGTTTTTGAAACTATTGATTTGTAGAATGACCGAGGGCGGGCGGAGAGAGCGTGCATGGGCGTGTTTTCAAGGATGGATTCTGCCATGGTGCTAGGTCGACGACGGGGTGATGGTACGCTGTGGTTCTCTCGTGTGGTGGAAAAGAGGACTCTATTACCCGGAAGCTGACACAGCCACGGCTGTGCATCCCTGCTTGATACATGTTTGCGAAGGTGCCGGTGACAGGTTCATCATGCCGTCTCTGAAAGCTGCCGAACATCCATCATCCCTGTGACATGTAAGGGGCGCGTCCATGTTGGGAGAGGGCTTTATAACATTGGGCCGCAGTGATATAGGGATGGGATGGATGATATTCTGACAAGTCTGCCGATGGGGCGCATCCACATGCACGCATCCGCAGCGGGAGCGCGCGGGAGAGTGTGCGCGCCCAGCAGACGGCATGCCAGCCATGTGGGCTTGGCGGTGTCATTTTGTTTATCCAGAAGACAACACCCTTCTAATTTTGCCCCCAAGCATTCGAGACACATGGCGTCCATGGCCCCAGAGCCGTCGTCGCGCAAAGCTTGGTGTTCCTGACGCTGGTTGGTCGGTGCGCGCACGGCGGGTGATGCACGTGAAACACGCAGCGCTGTTTTTGGCCACGGCGTCTCGCCTTCAGTGCCTCGACTCCACTCCCCAGAGCGGCCGAGAATCCCAATCGGGCGAGACAGCGATCCGGGCTATAATCATGCGCTCCGGACATGCGCAGGCAAGACGAGGGGCGTGGCCATGGTGGTTGGCTCGAGAGGCCAGCGGGCATAAGCAAGCGGGCGAGAACTGGAACGGGGCCTTCTCGCCAATGCTTACATTCGTCTTTGCATGCAACTGATGACGACTGCCAAAAGCAAAAGGTCGTGATTGTGGCGGCGGCCACACCACGTCAACGAGGCGCCCGAAGAAGGTTGCAAAGGCAAAAAAAAAGCCGTCAACGCTGGCCCTGTTTGAGGCATCCTCGACCGTTCGCTTGACGCTTGCTTCTACCCCCCATGAACACATCCTCTACGCGCTATTGGCCCCGCGTCCGCATGGGGATTTTCCATTTAGACGAAACAGGTTAGACCGTTTCACAACGTACCCCCATCGCCTAAACCGTGGCGACCATGACTCTCACTCCCTAGGTCGTTTTGTAACCGACGGCAAACTGTGGATGGGCGAGCCTATTCAGACCTGCCTGATCGTGGCTGAGCATCCCAAGGCCCCGACTGTCGACTTGTCCAATCCATTGACAATGTTTCAAGCTTGCTTGTTTCGTCCTTTTCTTGGAGCCAAGGAAGCATATATCTATCCTGGCTGTTCCTCTTTTTTCAGGCTCACCTCAGCCTTCATCCTAATCACAGCTCGGTTCTTTCCTTTCCTTACCCAGGTGGAATACATTACCTTCTTTTAGGCTACATTCGCTTTTCCTCCCAGGCCATCATTCGTTTCGGCCTGCGCGGTATCCATACACACTCACTTTACATTCTGCTTCGATACCTGACTCGACATCTTATTCCTATTCACTCCCTATCCACCACCATGAAGGCTACCTATGCCCTTCTCGTCACGGGCCTGGCCTCCCACCAGGTCGCTGCCACTTGGGACTTCTTCGACAACTTCAACACGCCTTACTACAGCAACAACGAGTGTAGTGACAAGCAAAAGGGTGGCTTTAACTGGTCTGATCTCACCGACGGCGAGTCAGTCTCCGGCTACGGTGACTTCAACTTCTCGGGCGGCTGGAAGTGCTCCAACTCTTTTGGCAAGCGTGACTCGTTGACCAAGCGCACCTTTGGCAGCAAATGCATCACCAACACAGTCTCCAAGCAGAAGCCCGCTTCTTTCGGCTGCGAGAAGCGCGGCTTCTCCATCAGCCACATGGACGTCTCGGCCCAGTTCGACGCCGAACTCGAGCTGCACTACAAGATGAAGGATGGCTCCATCTGCAAGCAGCGCAGCAGCTGCAGCGCCGGCGGCTCCACTCTGCAGAACACGCAGTGCGGTGGCGCTACGGGCGTCGACATCTACCTCGGTGGCCAGCATCAGAGCGGCGACTCGTGCGAGATTGGCTTCCACAACATTGGCTTCGACTGCAGCCCCGAGAAGCCGTACACAACTCCCAGCGTGCCTGATGTTCCCAAGACTACGACTACACCAAAGGTTGAGTCTTCGACTCCCGTTCCCGTCTCGAGCACTCCGTCTGTTTGCAAGGGAGAGGACTGCAAGTCTTATCCTGTTGAGACTCCTGGTGTTTCTACACCCAAGGCTTCTACTCCCGCCATCCAAACTCCTGTCATCTCGACTCCTGCAGCCTCGAAGCCTGCCGTTTCGTCGCCTGTCGTCTCGAAGCCTGTAATCTCCGCTCCTTATGCCAACACAACGACCAGCTACCCTGCTCAGGTTCCCTCTTCGGTTCCCTCTTCTGTCGTAAAATCCGTCTCCATTCCTCCCACCTCTGAGACTCCTCTCGCTACTACCAGCTCCCGCGCTCCCAGCGCTCCTGCCCCCAGCTCTCCCGCCAGCTCTCCAGCCGGCTCTCTCCCTCCTGTGCCATCCACGCCCAGCTACCCACCTCTGAACGTCACCGATGTCGTTCCCAAGTGCTTGAACTCATGGCTCCAAGTCACTGCTGGTGAATGCAAGGACAACACCGACTCCAAGTGCTACTGCGTCAAGCCCGAGTTCACACAACAAGTGATTGACTGTATTACGGCTCGCTGCCCAAGCGATGAGGATGCTGGCACTGCTCTCAAGTACTTCATTGGTATCTGCGCTGAGCACGTCCCGAAGAACCCCATGATTGTTGGAGGCTGCCCTTCATACATTCCTTTGAACCCTCCTTCGTCTCCTCCGGCGGTTTCTTCTACGGCTCCTCCTGCTACCCAGACCAGCTATGCCGCTGTGCCTCCTACTGGTCAGACGACTCCCCCTGCTAAGCCCCCCACTGGCGGTGCATCCAACCCTCCTGCCGGTACTCCCTCTGTCCCTGCTGCTGCTTCTAGCACACCTATTGGACAGACTCCTTACACCGCTGTCACCTACAACGCCACCACCGTCACTGTTCCTCAGGTCCACTTCGCCACTACTCCCCCGGCCCCTGGTAACACCCCGAACCAGCCTGTGGCTCTTGTACCTGGACCTCCACCCTCGGTCCCGGCTTACCCCACCGGCAGCACACCCACTCGTTACCCTACCACCATGGGCACCAACGTGGCCACTGCCACGTCTCTCCGCCCTTCATCCCCGGCTCAGTTCAGTGGCATCGCCTCCCCGCTCACCGTCGTGCCCCAGGGCGCTCTCTTCGGTGCAGTCCTCGCTTTCCTTGCTTTGTGATAATATTTATTGTATGGTCTTTGCACCATCATTTCTTGGTGTATACTAGCTTCATGTCCCCGTGGAATATACGACGCACGGCTCATGTTAGATGTCGGAATGTGTGGTAATACCAGATGTCTTTTCTTGAAATGTAGGCAAAGGAGGAACAAAAAATTTCTATATCTTGAATGTATAATTGCTCATTCCAACATGTCCATGTTGACCGTGCCTTCAAGTGACGTTCTTGCCAGAAATCCTACAGGAAGAGCCAAGTCGGTAGCGTGTATAGCATGTGGGCTCTCGCATGTGAATAAAACTGGGGGTGGGGGCTGTTCCATGAACCGAGGTCCGTCATGGACACTAGCTTTCCCGCCCATAATACCAACAACACCTCCACAACCCCCCCCAGCAAGCCATGTTCCCGGCGCACAACGCACCAGACGTCCAGCATGTCGTCGGCCAGCGCCCCGCAGCCCTCGCCACCCGGTAATCCGAAGCCAATAGACCCGATACTGCGAAATGCGCTCCGCTACACCATCTCGGCAAAGGAATATCAGTTGCTGCACCAGTACCTCCTTTCGCGCGCGCCCGTCGTGAAGAAGCGCAGCATACACCCCAAGCGCTACGACGCCATTGTCCAAGGACGAGACGATTACAATGTCGCCGCCTTCCGTGCCGCGTTGCGCTTGGGCATCGTGACGCTGTCGGGGCTGAAGGCTTGGGAAGTCATCAAGACGCGGCTGTTATCGCCAGGGACCGCAAAGAGGTACAGCCTGTTTTCCTCTCTCTAAAAACTATCTCCAGGGACATTTATTGACGGCTTGCAGGAAACAAGCCCATATACCCCTCTGGAAGTCACCCAACGTGCGTCTCAGCAGCTCGCTCGCCCTGATACTCCTTTTCCATCGGCTGCTCCGACGTGTCTTTGTGCGCATCCGCGAGAGCCTTCTCAGCAATGAAGCGCGCTCCTTTCGGCGGCGGAACCCCCGTATATCCCGATCGTTGACGTCCAGACTCGCGCCGGCGATTGGATCCAGCTTAGCAGGCTTCTTCCTCGCCGTGTATCCCGGCGACCAACTGCGCATTACAATGGCCATCTACGTAATGACGCGCGCCCTGGAATTCGCTTACAACTACCTCGAAGAACAGGGCTACATGAAGAACAGGCCCAGCTGGTTCGGCTCGTGGATGATTATGCCTGTCGCATGCGGTCAACTCCTCCATGCATTCGTCTTTGACCGCGACTGTTTCCCCTCGGGTTTCGGCAAGCACATTCTCGACAACTCGCCGGAATACATCCAGAAGCGGCCTGTTGACTATCCCAGCACCGCGCCATGGCCAGGCACCTTTGCCATTGCAGACAACCTAGCGGAAATCTCGCGCCAGCGCTGGCCCCCTTTTGTCTCGCCCATCCTCTTCCCCGCCGCAGAGACGCTCCCAAAACGCCTCGCCAGCATCTCGCCCATCACGTCGCCCGCCCACCCAGCCATCAAATCGCTCTCGTGCGCGCTGCTGCACCCGCAAGACCCCTCGTGCCTCCGCACATACATCCAGTACTGGATCCAGGCATTCCCCAAAGTCGCGCGCCTCTTCACCCTCTTCTTCGCGGCCCTCAGCCTGCGCCGCTACAAGGAGTTCCTCGCGTCCCCCATCGCAGCCCTCAACTCGCTCGCCAAACGCATCCTCCGCATGTCGCTCTTCCTCTCCGGCGCAATCGGCACCAGCTGGGGCTCCATCTGCCTCTTCCAATCCATGCTGCCCCGCACCTTTCTCGCGACGCAGCGCTGGTTCCTCAGCGGCGTGCTCGGTGGCCTGTGGGGCTTTCTCGCGCGCCGCAACGGCCGAGCAAATTTCCTCTACACGGCACGCATGTCGCTGGATTCCCTGTGGAAAGTCGGTGTCAAGCATGGCTGGTGGGTTGGTCTTCCCAACGGCGACGTTTTCCTTTTCGTCGCCAGCTTGGCCCTCGTTAATGCCCTGTATGAGGTTGAGCCTCGCGCTATCAATAGCGGCGTTGTGAGAAAGGGTCTTGGCGTCCTCAGAGGTGAGGGCTGGGTCGATAGAGCCGTTTTGCTAAACGAGCACGTGGTCACAGGCAAGGAGAGAGAAGAGTAATTCGGATTTTTTTTTATTTACTTGGCCGGTTCAACAGTTTCGCTTTCTAGCACTTGTGCGTGTATTACATTTTGGTTATGCCCATGATGGGTGATGAAGGGCATGTTATATGTAGCATATCATAGCATAGTATCGCGTAGCGGAGCAGAGAAGAGAAGAGTAGAGTAGAGTAGAGTACCAGAGAAACAGCAAATTAACACAATTCTCAAATAACACTACTTACTTACAATGATTTACGAAAAAAAAACTCTTAGAAAATCAATCGCTAAATATCAACTACAGAATACAGACCTTCTTCTTCTTCTTCTTTTTTTTTGGTCGGAAAACTACAAGGCAGGAAAAACGACGTTTAGTGTAAAAAAAAACACACACACACAGCTGGAAGAAGAAGAAAATTGAATATTGGGTATATATCAGGGGAAAACCTTTTGACGCGCAGGTGAAGTGCTCTCTCTCTCTCTCTCTCTCTCTACTTTTTCTCTCCCGCTTGCTTAAGAAATGAAAACAGAAAAAAGAAAACAAAACAAAACAGATAGACAGATAGACAGAAAACAACAGAAACCCCTAATAAGAAAAAAGAAAAAGAAGAAGAAGAAGAAGAAGAAGAAGAAGAAGGCTACTACAAATAAACTTGCTGCATGTCTCCGCACCACCACCTGCCATTACATCCACCCAATTTTTTTCTCTCTCTCCAAATGATGACCACCGATCATATATATATATATATATCCAGCATACGTGGGAAGGCGAGCTCAAAGCTACGCCATAGCCATTGTCTCAGCCGACTCGACCAACTCGGGCCTATCACCACCATAGGACTTAGGCACGCTCTTACCCAGCTCATTGGCCAGCAAACTGCCATTACTCAGGACGACAAACTTGCGGCTCGTTTCCTTTGCGACGACCAGCTTGATGGCGTTGAACAGCCAGCCCATGACGGTGGGGACATTGACGAAGAACTTGCGGGACAGCGTCTCCGGGTAGTGGTTGCCGAGGATCTCAATCGTCTTGTTTGTCGCGGCCTTGACGAGCGGGTCGCGCCGGATAAACGAGACTTGGAGGTAGTCGTGGACTTGGAAGCCTTGGTAGGGGTCGGGCCCTTCGCCGTAGTTGGGGATTGGGACGCTGGCGCTCGAGAGGGAGAGCGCTTGGATCGATTTCTCCATTAGGCCTACGCGCCAGCGGAGGAAGCTGTGAGAGGGCTTGGTTAGCGCGTGCGGTTTCTCGAATGTGTGTGTGTGTGTTGTGGAGAAACTGCTGAGAGAGAGAGAGAGAGACTACATACCCGTCTAAATCACCAAACGTAGCCTTGTTATCCTTGACGGAGCCATAGATATTAAACGTAGCCACATCCTTCTTATTCAAGCTACCGGGCACGCCCTCGACCTGCAGGACGTATCCAAGGCCGTCGAACTTGGTCTTTTCGTAAGTCTCGGTGGCCGCCTTGACGGGATCGAAAGCCTTTCTCCACTTGAGCGTCTCGAGCAGCTGCGTCTTTGCCTTTTCCACGTCGTTCTGGTTGGCGCGCAGGAACTTTTGCAGGATGAGCTTGGTGTGGAAGGCGTTGGAGGCGCTGAGCTCGATGCCGTAGACCTCGTTGTGTTGGGCCGAGGCGACGAGGGCTTCGAAACTGTCGAAGAACTTTGTGAGCGGGTGGTCGGGCGCCGTCTCGGGCCAGACGGGGCCGCTGGTGGCTTCTGTGGGAGCGGCCGCGGGCTGCGCGTCGCTAGGCGCGTCAGCAGGCGGTGCGGCGACGGCAGGAGTCGTTGTGTCGGCTGGCGGTGCCTCTTCAGGCTTCTTCTCCTCTGCCCGTGTGTCATCTGCCTTTGGCTCTTCCTTTTGTTCTTCCTTGACCTCCTCCTTGGTCTCCGCCTTCTTTTCCTCCTCCCCCTTTTTCTCGGCGACGGAGAGGTCAGCTACACCCGCAGTCGCGCTGTCAACAGCCTCCACGTCATCCGTCTTGTGTGTGGGCTCAGCCGTTGTGCTAGTCTCAGGCTGCTTCTCCTGGTTGGGTCCGCTGAAGAGCCCAGCGCCCTCGGTAGGTACGGTGCTTGTTTCTTCTGGTTTTGCTGCCATTGTGCACTTTGTTTGATCCCTGTGATTGGAATGGGCTGCCCTTATTATGTGCTTCGAGATATTTAGGGTTAGCGGTAATCACGCCGCAATCTCCGAAGCCTCAGCATCAACACGCGCGTTCACGTGTTCTCCACGTGCATCACTCTAGCGTTATGAAGAATACGAAACAGGCCCGTCTTGCGCCAAAAAGTGAAGGTGAACCTTGAAGATGACAGCTTTGCATTCACGCTTACTTGATAACTACAAACTCCACATTGGGTCATCATGATGCCTGTCTTCAACGTGCACAACCACCCCAGCAACTTCATGAAATTGCAGCATACCCGAGCCACAGCTGAGTACAACCAGGCCGTATCACAATGAGCAACGAGTACCTGTCATCTGGATGCAAGTTAGCAGAGCCCACCAAATCGTGTTGTACAGCATCAGAGAAAACAAGCAATCAGTCGAAAGATGAAAAGTCTCGAATGGTTTGTCAATCAGTGAGGCGGACCCCTCTGAGTTAGCATGAATTGGTGTTCATCATAGCACGAGGAAGACAAGATGAATGGGTAATTTACCTTTTACGAAAACCTGGCGATCGACAGCTGTGAGTAGTAGAGCCATTAGATACCTAGCATGGAGTCAGCAAACAAGTCACGCATGCAAATGTTACAACCGAGTCGTATATGCAAAGATTTTCAGGTAATCGAACTAAATTTGTTCCCCATGGGTAGGTCGGTATTTGATAATACACTTATTGCTCATCATTGGAAAAAACAACAACAACGGGGGCGCTGCGATGGGCATGTAGGGGTATATAAGCTCACCTTTTCAAAGCAGTCGTAGCTTCACAGAGCCTTCCAAAGACCCAACACGCTGTATTGCTGCGTGCGAGAATCTCACAGCCATGGGCAGTCGACGTGCGGTATGTGTGGAAGGCTTCGTGAAGCTACGATGGGCGCACCGCTACGAGATGGGCGCCAGCGCAGACATTGCGCTCACAGTCGCAAACCATGACGCTGGGGTCCTGCGGTCTTTGGAACATGTTAGCAGCAATCCACATGGAGCTTTTCCGTAACAATTCCGTCAAAAGTACAAGAGATCAGCAATCCCGTTTGGCTTGGGTGGTCGATCACCATAGAGTGTATGATAGGGGCGACACAGAGATTCATCATGGTAATACGATGGGAAGGGGGATAAAAATAAAAAGCGTGGTTCTGAACATACCTGGGTGTTTGCGCGCGTGCGTGGTGCAAGGAGGAGAAGTTGGCAGCAAGAAAGCTCCCAAGTTTTGAACGAAGAGAACGGCAACTTTTTTGCGCCGCGGTGTTTCGTTTCGCCGTTGGTCCGAGCGTAGTCCCCATAGTAGTAGCGCCTTTCTGTCTCCCCCGTTGGACGCGCTCGCTCGCCCGCCATTCTTCAAAGTCCGAACTCCTCTCTCTACGCGCTTAGCTTTCCGCCGCTTCCAACTCGCACCCGCTCCGCTCGCTCGCCCTTTAGCCTCGCACATACACACACACATATATATATATATACGCTTCCTCCAGCCCATCATGGTCGCCTCGACTTCCGCCTCGACATCAGCCTCGTTCGAAGCCTTTGTCAAGCAGACGCGCGAGAAGAAGAAGAACGAGGCGCTCGCGCAGCAGTTCCTAGGCGGAGCCAGCCGAGGCCGGAAATCCAATGGCGGCGGAGCCAGCGCAAAGGCGGCGCGCGTCGAGTCTGAGAAGCCGTCGCTGCTCAGCCGCATCAACGGCGGCGCAGGCGTGCAAAAGCGGTCTGCCAGCGCCAAACCAGCCGGCAGCATCGACGGCAAATGGCAGCACGATCTGCACAAGCTGAACAATCCCCGCGGCGCACCAAATACCAGGAGCGCAATGGCCCGCACCGCGTCGGCATCCCAGGTCGAGCGCAACACGAGGACCTTTGACAAGTTCGCTTCATCCATTGCCCGCGGCGCGGCCACACGCACCAACGACGCACCGGGCTTCAGCATCCGCGGCGTCGCCAACGGAGGGCCATGCACCGTTATCGCCAGCAACTTTGCGCCGGGCACTACCGCCGCGGATATCGAGGCTGTCATGAGCCCGATTGGAGGCGAGACACTGGGCTGCAAGCTGCTGTCTGCGAGTCCCACGGTCATGGTCGAGCTGCAGTTTACCAGCAGAGAGGGAGCTGAGAATGTCATTGCGACGTTTAACAATCAAAAGGTCAGCATACACTCACATGTATATACACGCCGTTGCGCTAAACTAACCCTTTCTTCTACCAGGCTGACGGCAGACTACTCTATGTCTACATGAAAGACGTGCCTGCAACCACGCATCTATCAGCTTCCCGGGCCGCACCACCACCACCGCCAGCCGCAGCCGCCGCTGCCCGTCTCAACCAGCACCAGTCGGTCGACGACATCATGGAACTCGACACCACGGCCGCCCGCTCTTCGGGCAGTTTCCAAGACGGACGCTACGGCTTCAACGAGGGCGGTGGTGCCCGTCGAGATCCTCCCCGGGGCCCGCGTCGCCGCTACTAAAACACACACCATCTTTTTTCTTCCACTTTTTTTTCCCCCTTCCTCCCCGTAATTTGTTCCCCATATCATATATCTATATGTGTGTGTGTGTTTTTCTTTTTCTTTTTTGTATAGCACACTTCCCCCAGAGACGCAAATCTTTTCTGTCTCTCTCTCTCCAGTTTCAAAAAAATCCTTTTTTGTACGATACCCTTTTTTTGTTTTTTTTTATATTCACGAATGATTGAAAGAGCAATGAGCCGAAGGCAAAAAAAAAGATGAATAAATAAACTATCCAAATCAACAACGTCTTAGAAACTTAACGAAGCGAATGGGGAAAGGGAATAGTGAAATCTAAAATCGGTAGACGGGCTAGCTTTGTACCACTTGAAGAATTCGTCTCGCAAAAGGCTGTCCTGTCTAGAGTATATTTGTAAATTAACCCCAATTTACGGACGATTACCAGGCCCGCACGACGATTCCCTATTTTCTTTCTTTTTTGATCTACTTAGCCTTCCACCCCTCAATAGCAGCATCAACCTCACTCCTATATCGCTGCTGGCCCTCGCACTGCTCGAGGAAAACCTTGTATTTAGCATCGAGCAGCTTCTTGACGGTCTTGTCAGCAAGCGGCTTTACGGTTTTACCGGGCTTGCTGAGGCGGTCCATGATGTCCCAGAGGGGCTCGCTGTTGCCGTCCTTGTCTGTGCTGGCGGCCTTTGCACCGAGCATGGCTGCGCCGTGGACGACGGCGGCGTGGACGTAGCGGGGAATGAGGACGGGCATGTCGCAGGCCGTGGCCATGAGCTCCATGAGCAGCGCGTTCTGGCACTGCGAGCCGGACATGAAGATGGATGAGATGACGTGGCCGGATTTGTTCATTGCAGAAACAATCTGGTGCGTCTGCAGGGCGATGAACTCCATGGTGCCATAGTAGTATAGTGCTAGGCCGTCGAGGCTCTTGTCGGAGCTCAGACCAATGACGGCACCCTTCATGTTGGGGTCAGCGATGGGTGAGCGGTTGCCGAAGAGGTCGCCGTAGAAGAAGAAGTGGCGGCCGAGCCAAGAGATGTGTGGTGCGTTTTGATTGTCGGCCATTTCGCGTAGATGCTCGTTGAGGTAATCGTAGATGTTGGTGTTGTAGGTCTCGGCCACAGAAACTGCCTCGTTGAAGGCTGGGTGTGTCTCGATTACGTGCTTGAGCAGCTCGCCCGTTGCACTCTGTCCGCCCTCTGCCATCCAATAGCCTGGTATGAGGACGTCTCGGTACGGGCCCCAGACGCCGTCCACGAAAACGGGATCGCGAGACATGGCGAGATGGCAGGTCGAGGTTCCTGCAACGGCGGCAAGACGCGTGAAGGCTTGGGCGACATCGTTCTTGGGCTGGTCCATGTTGAGCGTGTCCTCGTCGAGCTTGACTTTTGCGCCAACTGTACCAATCCAACCAGCATAGGCATCGATGACACCGCTACCGACTGCAATGCCAGGCTGGAGACCCATTTCCTGTGCAGCCTTCTCGCTGAGCGTACCCACGAGCTCACCAGCCGTGAGATAACGCCCGTTCTGCCTCGAGGTCAGCTGAAATCTATAGGTCTCAAAGAGATGGACAAACCACATTGTCGACGCCTCCCATGCGCTTGAAGTTGTCTTCGCACAACTCCTCAAGGCCGATTTCCTTGAGAAAGTCCTCCTGCCAGCCCTTGACACTTCCATCGACGCCGACTGGCACAAAGCCTTGCTTGCAGACCACACTGCAGTAGCTCCGGCTTTCGCTTCCAGTAGCCAGGTGTGTAAGAGCGTCAGTCAGGTCGTAGAATTTGCAGCGGTCGAACAGCTCTTTTGGCATGTTGTTCTTGAGCCAGAGCACCTTTGGAATCTCCATCTCAATTGACATTTTGCCTCCAACGTAGCGTAGCAAGTTGTGCTTGGTAGCATTGATCTTGTTCGTCTCCTCTACGGGGCGATGATCGAGCCAGAGAATAACGTTGCGGTCGTTACCGTCCTTGTTGTCAAAGTTGGGCCCTGTGACTGGGACAGGCTCGTCCGTGTCGTCCCTGAAGACGGCGAGCGAGCACGTGGCATCGAAGCCAATTCCACGTATAGTTTGCCGGTCAATGTTGTGCTGGTCTATGGCTCGACGGACCGAGGAGCAAATGCAGCGCCAAATGTCAGTCGTGGATTGTTCCTGTCCGATTTCAGTCTGCAGCACTGGGCTCTTCTAAACAGTGCGAAATACATAGTAGCCTGTCTGTGGCTGCCAGAGACCAATGTTCTCCGAAGCCAGTCCTACGATATCGCCCTGGTCGTTCATGATGCAGGCTCTCGCACTACCAGTACCCACATCAATACCAATATAGTGGTCGACTTGCGGGTGGAGCTCATTGCGGGGGTCGGTCGACAGCTGCCGCGACTGCTTGCGCTGCGTCTGTCTGAATGGAATTGAGGCAGCCATGGCGTGCGTAGAGAGTGAAGAAGCAGAGGCGGTGGGAAATCAGCAGAAGCCTTGTACTTCTGCAAGACACTGTTGAGCGACAACACAGCTGTAAATGCGGGATGAGCTCATACGGGCCCTGGAGAAGCTCTAGTATGGTGGGGGTGGGGCAAAAGACAGCATTAGGGGCTGAGATATTCTGTGTAATCGGGCAACATGGTCCCAGGGTCGTCGGGTTGAGCGCCGATCTGCTCGTAAACAGGATGGGGAAAGGTGGGCATCATGAATCCCGGATCCACTTGTTTGGGTATGCCGGGCGCTGTTGGCTATTTGCAACGCCACCAGAGGCAAGTTGTGAGTCTTGGGCGATGACTTATCGGTGTAATTCCGGATGAAGCGGAGAGGCAGCACCGGCCAGTGTCTACGCGTCTCATGAGACGTGGTGTGAGGGGGCGGGCTCGATGCGAGGGGAGGGAGGCATGTCCCTCGGTGATACGGTGATACGATTCGCCGTTGTGAGCTAGCCAAGCTTCCACGTCCAACCCCAGTGCGCGCGTAGATACAGACAGCAGCGCCTTATACCCTTACGCCAAGATGCTGTTCTCCAGGCTTCTTGTACTGCTACCGGTTGCAGTCGCATCGTCGGTGACGCTCTACGTATCGCCCGTCCCCGCCTCTGCGGACACGGCCGCAGTTACTTCGCCGGTGCCCCTCGCGCAGATCGAGTACGATGCGGATCAGTCTGTCGGCACCCTAGTCTCGTATACACCGCCAGCAGGGTCCTACTCGCCGGACCGCCTGCTACGTGTCGGTCTTGCGGACGCGAAATCGAGCTCATGGCACGGAATTGTGACTTCGGCGGCGAGTTTCTCTGAGCAATACCACAAGAAGTTTGTAATCCACGTCGACGACAAAGGCGAGCCGTTCCACGTGGGGTTGAGCACAGCAGCAAAGGGCAGCGGGAGCGAGGTGGAAATTGAGGTTTTGCGGAAGAACACTGGACCCAAGCCGGTGCTGAACAAGCCGATTGTATTGAACGCGGAAGGAAAGGTTGGGTCCGATGAACCGGAAAAGACATTCTTGCAAAAGTGGGTAGATTTGGGATGGAAGCGGAAGAAGGCAAGACTAACAGCGACACAGGTACTGGTGGGCCATTGCCCTTTTCATGCTCGTTCAGCTGGCTGCAGGTGGTGGAGAGAAATAAAGAATAGACAGGCAGGACGTCTATGCAAATACCTGTCCATAGTAAAGGGTACACAACTTCTCTTGTTTCTGTTCCTGTATCGTTCAATTTCCATTCAGGTCACAACGTCTGTCATCATGTGTGCGACTAGCAGAAACGGGGTTCATATTCAGGGCAAAGTCGTGAGCTGTTGTACATTCATATTGTTTCGTCTGCCTCTGATCTATATATCGTGCTGGGTATAAGTATGCATGCATTGTGGGGCCTTGAAGCAGTAGACGGTTGGGCGGGACTAGGCTGGCCCCGAGACAGTAGTGGTAGCGTTGGCCAGGGAAGAAAGAGTGGGGATTGAGCCAGTGGAAGCTGAGCTGGCGGGAGCTGGGACAGCAGGCGAGGGAGCCGACTTTGGCTGGTGGACGTCCATGGGCAGGATCTCGGTCTTGAGCTCTCGCGTCTTCTTCTGCTTGGGCTCCGGAGCCTTTTCGTTCTCTTGGACGTAGAACTTGCGCAGCAGCATGATTGCCTCCTCGCGAAAGATGCCGCCGGTGACGGGGTAAGGCTTGTCGACACTGGGACTGTGGAAGAGTTAGTAGGCGAGACACGAGTCAACGTCGAGCGATGGGCGTACTCGGAGTGGATATTGAGGACCCCTCCTGTTCCGCCAAAGCGCTCGTTCCAGCATCCAAAATAGACGGCGCGAATGCCGTACTGGCGCAGCATCGAGGCGCACATGACGCAGGGCTCGACGGTGACATAGAGGTCCGTCTCGTGGAGGATGGCGATGGGGTGCTTGGCCAGGATGCCGGCAATGGCGACAAACTCGGCGTGCCTGGTGCCGTTGAGGGTGCGGTTTGTTTCGTTCATGCCGCGGCCAATGATGTGGCCGTGCCTGACAAAGACACAGCCGACGGGAGTTTCGTCGCTTTTGAGGGCGAGCTCGGCCTGTGTGGAGGCCCAGTCAGCATGCTGGGGGGGTGGTTTGCTCGCTGCCGCACGTGCTGGCGCGGGAAAGCAGAGACGGCAGCGGGCGGAGGGGGTGATTCACCATAGCAATGGCCTCGCGCATGAAGCCCTCATGATACGCCCTCTCGTCGGGGTCCATGGCGTCTGGAGCGTGAGTCGCTTCGTGGTCTTGGCGCGCTCTGGGGGTCACGGCAGCGGCAGCGGCAGCGGCAGCGAGGGCGTTGTTTGCCGTTTGCTGGGCGTGCAGATGGCGGCGGCAGCAGTAGAGGGCCAGGCCAAGGCCGGCCGAGGCCAGGGCGATGGAGGGCCACGGTTGCCGCGCCCTCAGCATGGCCGTCGTGAGGGTGAAGCAGCTGCGACCATGGGCCATGTTCTGAGACGGAAGGCGCCCTGTTGCTGTTGCTGCTGCTGCTGCCGCTAAAGCCACTGTCTGGGCCAGGGTGCCAGTGCCGCTGCCGCCGCCCCAAGACGGCTCCGGCAAGCGCTAGCCGCTCCGCCCTGGGCCAAGTCGCAGTGCGTCGACGTTGAAGCCGCGCCGCGACCGAGGGCTGGGCCAGCGCCAGAGCATACCAAGAAAAGTGAGGACAGTAATACGCCAGCCAGCACCCATCCTCCCTTCACTGCACCGCCACACCCCCATTACGCACTCGCAACGTACGCACGCACGCCCACGCCGCCCGCTACAAAGAGGCTCCCAGACGCTCGCCCTCGTCTGCTCCGTCTTACATACACCTGCCTGCCTGCCTACCTGAGCTCCACCCACACATACAGCTTGCGCCGCCGCCGCCGCCGCCGCCGCCGCCGCCAACCGCCAACCGCCATCCGCCATCCGCCAGATTGCCCTGCGCACCTCCCGCACGCTTGAAAAACATACACGTGTTACGCCGCCTGCAGCCATGACGCTCGCCGAAGAGTTCAAGTCGCGGAATTTCAGTAAGCCATGAGCCGGTGCCGGTGCCGGTGCTGTTGTGTTGGATTGTTGCTGACATGGCATCTTTGCAGGTATCTACGGTCAATGGTCGGTCGCGCATTGCCTCGCCACCTCTGCACAAGACGTGTGTTGCTGACTCGGGCTTCTAGGACGGGAGTGCTGTGCATCTTCCTGTGCTTTGCGCTGGGCATTGCCAACATCTTCCACGCCAACTTTGTCATTGCCTTTAGCATCGTCTGCCTGTACGGCCCTCACCCCCTCTGCCGCGCCTGCCGCGAGTCCTAACTAACAGCGCAGGGTGTGTTCGTTTGTCATCATCTTCATCGAGATACCGCTCCTCCTCCGCATCTGTCCCACGTCGTCCAAGTTCGATGAGTTTATCCGCAAATTCAGCTCCAACTACATGCGCGCCGCCATCTACTTTGTCATGAGCGCCATACAATGGATCAGCATCTGGCCCATGGCGACGAGCCTGATTGTGGCGGCCATCTTCCTGCTGCTGGCCTCGATGTTCTACGCGCTCGCCGGCTTCAAGGGCCAGCAGTTCCAGGGCAGCAAGACGCTCGGCGGCCAGGGCGTTGCGCAGATGATTATATAGGGCACGGGGGTGGGCAACGATTGCGAATAACGCGACACGCTTTGACTGCACGGCGCGACCGAGGGTGAGGGGGGAATATACCATGGCAGCTGTGTAGCTACATGAGGCCACGACTTGAGTTTGTTGTATCATTGGTCAATAGCTCGGCGTTAGGGGGAGCTACATGTATCATGTGGATTGCTTGAATTGGGAGACGGTTGGCCAAGCTTTTCCAGGCAGCCAAAAATGCGAGATTATGTTTTGACATGTGTGTGCTGTTTGTTTGACATTTGAGTATTGGTCACGAGGGATTGCCCGGGCACTGGTGGGGGGAGCATACGTAACTATACATGTGGAGACGGCGATGACGAGGGGTTCTAGAAGGGCGCATCACACACACACACACACACACACGCATGCACAGGGCGGGCTGCTAGAGCCTGGGTGGTGATTGTGCCAACGGTTCTGCCCACACGCACCCGCACACGGACAGAGGGATGCCACGAAGCCCGTCTCACACCTACAGCCATGCCTACCGGAGCATGCGGATGACGCCCAGCCCAAGGCCAGGCACGAAGCACCATGCTTCAGCTGGCCGGCTTCTTCTGGTTACCTTTGTGGCGACGCTGAGTGGCTGCTGGGGCGTCGCCAGGAACCACAGCTGCTCGGCGCGGGGAACACTAGCGGCTTAAGTCGTGCCGGACTCGCACACTCGTCTTGAAGATCCTGCACCATGGCCGCCCGTTGGCAACACGGCTTCGGCCTGCTCGTGTGCACTCGCGCTGGCCTCACCACATGGCCTCGACGGCCAGCAGGGCAATTGTGGATAGAGATAACACCGGTGTTCACGCGCAAAGGCGTGTCCACGTAGTTGTTGAAGTCGCATAGTCCCCAAAGCAGCATAGCGCCTGGGCACGTCTGGCGTCGACAGCGACAGCGACAGCGACAGCTAACAGTGCAGTGCTACCAATCGACCGCCGTCCGTACGCAGCGGGGCACGACGCCCTCGCCCGCCTCCATGTGAAGACGCAGCCATCACACGGAGACGAAATCAAGCCCAGCAACGGCCACTGCGCATGCTCGAGGCGTTGCCCATGGCCGCCGCGTGCCAGACGCCAAACGCCAGGGCCCCATGCCAGTTCAAGCATGATGCAAATGCGGGTCGCAGACCTGTCCGCTACATACATAAATGCACCCGCCCCAGCTTGACCAGCCCAGCCCACTTTGCGCCATTTGGCAACACAATACCAACCCGCCGCGCTTTTCTCTCCAGCCTCACTCGAGCCCCCGCCCCTAATTGCGTGCTCGCCAGTAAGTCTGCACTATAAATCCCGCTCTGTCCCGCTCCGTTGCCCTCCCGTTTCTCACCAACCCCTCATTGGCTGCCCGCGGCTTGACTTGGGCGAGCTACTCGACCACTTCTCTACATTTGTCCACTTGCCCAGTGCAGCCAATGCCGCTGCCCCTCTGACATTCCATGTACGCATCCAATGCCCGATAACTGTTGAGCATTGCCGCTGACATTCAACTGCCCCGCGCAGCGCCTCACAACCCTACCATACCTCTCTACCCCACATAGCCATCGAGCACCGGCTACGCACACAATGACGGCTCTACCCACAATACCGCCACGCCCAGCGCGCTCCACCAACAACTCTTCTCCTGCCCAGGGAAGCCACATGGAGGTGCCCAAGATCCCTCCTCGCCCCAAGCGTGGCATGGAGCGCTCCGTCTCTCCAAGCGGGGACAGATATGCCCCGTCCCCACTCAACGATCCCACCTACGTGCCCGGCGGCCCACCCAAAGAGAGCAAGCGCCTCAGCACTGAGCTGCCATCCCGCCCCCCGAGTGTCTCTATACCCTCGCTCGGAGAGGAGGGCGCCGAATACGCTAGTTTCGAAGACCTATCCAAGACTCTGCAGAACGACAGCCAGGCTGGCTCTCCGCAGCATATGAAGAATGTGGCAGGAGACTTGCCCTTGTATGCTCCGACTGCCGAGGTCCCCAGTTCCACTGCGAAGAGCAGGATCCAGGCCGTTACGCGGACTGACTCACAGACAGCCACCGCCGCTGGTTTTGGCTCCCAGCTCTCGGTTGATGACAAGGTTTCTCAATCGAAATCGGGTAACTCGGGCTCTTCCATTAGCTCACGCCCCAGCTCCATCTACAACGAGCAAGATGAGCATGGCATTCCAGAGATTGGCGTACAGGTGCCCATGTTCCGCAACGCGGGAGATGTCCAGGCTCCAAGCCCGGCGCCGTTTGCCCAACAAGCCGCATCTCAGGGCATTGGCTTCCACCAGAAACCCAGTGGTCGTCACCATGGACGTACCAAGAGCGGCCGCGAGATCTTCAACGGACCTCCCGGCAGCTATGGTCTGCACGGACACGGTAAAATCTCGACAGATGAGTTCGAGCAAAAGTGGTACGAAAAGCATCCAGACGACTTGAAGCGCGAAAAGGCTGGCGAGTATGGCCCACACATCCAAGAAAACAGAAAGGAATACCATTGGCGCGCCGACAACCTGGAACGACTGGTCCATACCACCTCGCAAGACATTGGCATGGGTACGTCACTGACTCAGATTACACGAGCAGAGCTAATTCTGCTATGCAGGGACTAGTCGAGATGCAATCGGCACGCCCGATGAGCAGATTGGTTACAGAGCGACTGAGGAGTATGCCTCACGCATGGCTTCTCCTAGACCGAGCTCTTCGGCCAACCCCGCTTCGAACAAAACTGGCTATGTCGACTCGCCACTCCGCAACGAAGCCGGCCAAGAAATCAACGACAAGGGCGAGGTCATCCATATTGACCCTCCTTCGCATCGCTCTAGCAAGGTTGGTGGGGGTTACGATCCTCCCACGGAGAACCTTGGACCACGAGGTGGCAACACTGCCGACGAAGCTGGATGGGTTACCGAGCGCGGATATGGCACGCCCATTCTTGCCTCTGACGAGCTGAAGAAGCACCCGGATTCCGAATGGAGACAACCTGCCGTGTCGCCTGAAGTCGAGCGCCACGCTGACGAATACTTTTCCCGTGAGGATAGCGTCACAAAACCACGCTCGTCCAGTAGAAGCTCAAGCAGGAACAACCAGAAGCAGCAACGTGTGATCCCTAGCCCATCTCAGTACGACCACAGCAGTACTCCGCTCGAGTCTCACAAGGAATACGAGCCGCTCTTCCCAGAAGACGACGATGCCAAGAAGCCGAATCCAAAGGTCGAGGACCTCAAGCGTCCCAGTGTTGCCCGCCATCACTTCCCAAGTCAAGATGTTTGGGAAGATACGCCTGGCAGTCTGCAACTTGAGACTACCGTCGATACTCCGCAGGAACCTGAAGAGCCCAAGACGGCAGGTGGCAAAGACGTTAGCCCCGCCAAAATATTTGAGAAGCCAGAGACAGAAGAGCAACGCAAGCAGAAGCTCAACGAAGAAGACCAAAAGTCGTTCCTGTCGGACCACAATAAGCAATTTGGCGTTGAGAACAAGCTCCTTGGAAAAGTACGCGATGAGACAGCGGGCCGTCCCGGCATGCAGCAACGCTTCCCGAGCCAGGATATCTGGGAAGACGCCCCGTCGCATGGCCACCTTGAGACGACAGTTAGCACCCCGCAGATGGAGGAGACCAACGAGTATGCCGAGGACTCTCCAATCGAACCGAAACCTACCATGCCTGCGCGACCCAACATGTCCGCTCGCCCTGCCAAGAAAGAGCTGTCTGACGAAGAAAAGCAAACACCCATCATTCCCCCGAGGCCTGCACGCCAAACCAGAGCATCCGCGGGCTCTCCTGAAAAGACGCCGCCCACCGAGGCACGAGCCAATGAGAGTGATGCCTCACAGCACAAAGGGAAGCCACTGATGGCTGGCCGTCCAGCAGGTTCTAAGATTAGCGCTCTCCAAGCTAGCTTCCTCAAAGATCTTAACAACAAGATTGGTCTCGGCCCGCCTGCTCCTCCCAAGGTCAAGGAACCTGAGCCAGAAGAAGAAACGGAGCCAGCACCACTGCCAGATGCCCGCAAGAGTCGCGCAAAAGGACCACAGAGGAGGAAGCCTTCTTCTTCTCCTACTCCAGGTTCTGCTGCTGCTGCTGCTGCGCCACCACAGAAATTGAGCATTGCTTCTGTGACTGCAATTTGGAGCTTTGTTGAAGACGGTACCTTGGACGTTCCTGCAGCCAAGATGGCCGCACAGATGCAAAACACACTCACTGTCCCCGCAAAGGCTGAAGAGCTTGTGGCCACTGAGGTCGTAGCAGCCAAGAGTGTCTCGTCAGGGTCAGAAGAGCAGCAGCCTACCCCGGCTTCCTCGGAAGATGCTAAACCCGTCGCCGATGCGAAGACTGAGAAGGCTGAGAAGGCCGAGAAGACTGAGAAGACTGCGAAGGCCGAGAAGACTGAGAAGACTGAGAAGACTTCACTTCCAGAGCAAATAGCCTCTCAGGCGGCAAACACCCTGGAGCCAGTCACGTCCAAGGTGACATCTGCCTTGAAGTCCGAGGAGCCTCTAGTCACTGAAACAGCGCCCGGTTCCTTCGATGCACCAGGTGCCTTTCCCGGCTCTGGCCCAGATCTGGAGAACAAGGGCGACGTCAAGACCACTACCTCTGACAAGAAGCCCGCAGACAACGTAGCCACCACCACTGCGTCTGTCGAAGAAAAGCGTGATGGGTCCTCTGCTGCGTAGAAATGGCAGGGCCAACAATCTACGTAGTAGTTGTTTCTTTGGGTTTTTTGGGTTTTTTCTGTAGTTTTTTTTTGGCTGGCTACACCCGTCTCTCTCTATCTCTCTCACTCACTCTCACTCATCTGAGGACGCAATAGAAAGCTTGTCAAAGAGACGTTCCTTGTTGAAACTTTGTTGCTACTGCTTGTTGCACATGTTGGTGAAGGGGGAGAAGAAAAAAAAATGGATACATCAATTCAATATATAACGTGATTGATTTGTGCTCTTTTTGAATCGCCTTGTCTGCTCGCTTGCTTGTGAATATGAATATGGATATGAATATAAATGTTGGTAACAATCCAAGTCTAATCATCATCTTCCCCCCCCCCCTCCCCCATTCAAACGCTACTGTACTAACTTACATAACAGCCACTATATCATCCTACCAATACCAATACCAATACCAACGCCACACCCTCAAGTTCAACATTAATATGTACCATGTATGTATGTACTCTATTCTATTCACTTCACTAATCCCTCTTTTCCCCCCTCCCCCCCCATATACTTGTAAACCCGGCGTAAGTATAACAAAATACTAATGTATGTACTTGTCTGTACGACAATACTATGTATGTATGTATGTATGTATGTATGTATGGAATTGAAATAACTTTGATTCTTGATTTACTTACTTTTTTTTTCTTCTTAACTTGATTGATTGATTGATTCATTGATTGATTGATTGATACGGATCTAGACACACACACACACACACACACAAACAAATAACATGCTGTGGAGGAAAATAGCAGATGGAAACTTGGTTCAGGTGATCTTTGTATTGGATCACTGCTTCGAGAAAAAGTACATACTCAAGCAGGTCAGCTATTTATACCGTAGGCTCTAGGGCTATTTGCCAGTACAGTAGCTCACGTAACATATGAAAATGATTACCAAAGGCGCTTGCCAAAGCCGTGTACGGGTGCCCAATACATGCCAAGTGAGAAAAGTACATAGTAGTGTAGGAGTGTCAGGAATCCATGCAGGGGGGGGGGT